GTGGGTTTGAATCCCACTTCGGACAATGTATTTCTTTCAGTCATTTTTTGAGTTTAAAAAAGTTACATGCAAGGAAAAGCTATTCTGTCTGTCAGGATGGCCGAGCGGTCTAAGGCGCTGCGTTCATGTCGAAGTCCACCCGGTTTTGGCGTGGGTTCGAATCCCTCTTCTGACAATGTTTTTCTATTCAGTCATTTTTTGAGTTTAAAAAAACTACATGCAAGGGAACGCTATTTTGCGTGTCAGGATGGCCGAATGGTCTAAGGCGCTGCGTTCAGGTCGCAGTCCACTTCTGTGGGCGTGGGTTCGAATCCCACTTCTGACAATGTATTTCTATTAAGTCATTTTTTGAGGTTAAAGAACTAAATGCAAGGGAAAGCTATTTTGCGTGTCAAGATGGACGAGCGGTTTAAGGCGCTGCAATCAGGTAGTAGTCCACTTGCGTGGGCGTTGGTTCTAATCCCACTTCTGACAATGTATTTCTTTCAGTCATTTTTTGAGTTTAAAAAACTTTATGCAAGGGAAAGCTTTTTTACGTATCAGGATGGCCGAGTGGTCTAAGGCGCTGCGTTCAAGTCGCAGTCCAATTCTGTGGGCGCGGGTTCGAATCCCACTTCTGACAATAAAATTTTATTCACATACTTTTCTTAGGTTACAAAAACTAAATGTGAGGGAAAACTCTTTCACATGTCAGGATGGCCGATCGGTCTAAGGCGCTGCGTTTAGATCACATTCCACTTCTGTGGGCGTGGGTTCGAATCCCACTTCTGACAATATAATTTTATTCAGTCATTTTTTTTAGTTCTCATAACTTAAATGTAAGGAAACGCTCTAGCACGTGTCAGGATGGCCGAGCGGTCTAAGGCGCTGCAATCAGGTCGCAGTACACTTGCGTGTTCGTGGGTCCAACTCCCACGTCGAGCAATTGTATTTAGTTGATTTTTTTTTTTAGTTCTCATAAAGTAAATTAAAGGAAACGTTTTCTCAAATTTAAGAATGGCCAAGCGGTCAAAGGCGCTGCGTTCATGTCGAAGTCCACTCGGTTTTGGCGTGGATTTGAATCCCACTTCTGATAATGTAATTTTATTCAGTCATTATTTTTTTAGTTCTCATAAACTAAATGTAAGGGAAAGATCTTTCACAGGTTAAGATTCCTGAGCGGTCTAAAGCGCTGCGTTTAAGTCGCAGTAAAATTCTGCAGGCGTGGTTTCGGATTCCACGTTTGACAATTATATTTCATTCATTCATTTTTTTAAGTTCTCATTAATTAAATGAAAGAAAACACTCTCCTCCGTGTCAGGATGGCCGAGCGGTCTAAGGCGCTGCGTTCAGGTCGCAGTCCACTTGTGTGGGCGTGGGTTCGAATCCCACTTCTGACAATGTATTTCTATTCAGTCATTTTTTGAGTTTAAAAAACTACATGCAAGGGAAAGCTATTATGTGTGTCAGGATGGCCGAGCGGTCTAAGGCGCTGCGTTCAGGTCGCAGTCCACTTCTGTGGGCGTGGGTTCGAATCCCACTTCTGACAATAAAATTTTATTCACATACTTTTCTTAGGTTCCAAAAACTAAATGTAAGGGAAAACTCTTTCACATGTCAGGATGGCCGATCGGTCTAAGGCGCTGCGTTTAGATCACATTCCCCTTCTGTGGGCGTGGGTTCGAATCCTACTTCTGACAATAGAATTTTATTCAGTCATTTTTTTTTAGTTCTCAACTTAAATGTAAGGAAATGCTCTCGCACGTGTGAGGAAAGCTGAGTGGTCTAAGGCGCTGCAATCAGGTCGCAGTACACTTGCGCGTTCGCGGGTCAAACTCCACGTCGAGCAATTATATTTACTTGAGTTATTTTTTTTTTTTTTTAAAGTTACGTTTTCTCATTTTAAAGCGGTCAAAGGCGCTGCGTTCATGTGGAAGTCTACTCGGTTTTGTCGTGGGTTTTACTATAATGTAATTTTATTGAGTCATTATTTTTTTAGTTTTCATAAACTAAAAAAGGGATCTTTCACAGGTTAAGATTCCTGAGCGGTCTAAAGCGATGCGTTTAAGTCGCAGTAAAATTCTGCAGGCGTGGTTTCGGATTCCACGTTTTAAAATTATATTTCATTCATTCATTTTTTTTTAAGTTGTCATTAAATAAATGAAAGGAAACACTCCCCACGTGTCAGGATGGCCGAGCGGTCTAAGGCGCTGCGTTCAGGTCGCAGTCCACTTGTGTGGTCGTGGGTTCGAATCCCACTTCTGACAGTAAACTTTTATTCACATACTTTTCTTAGGTTCCAAACACTAAATGTAATTAAACTCTTTCACATGTCAGGATGGCTGATCGGTGTAAGGCGCTGCGTTTAGATCACATTCCACTTCTGCGGGCGTGGGTTCGAATTCCACTTCTGACAATAAAATTTTATTCAGTCTTTTTTGTTTTAGTTCTCATAACTTAAATGTAAGGAAACGCTCTCGCATGTGTCAGGATGGCCGAGCGGTCTAAGGCGCTGCAATCAGGTCGTAGTCCACTTGCGTGTTCGTGGGTTTGAATCCCACTTCTGACAATGTATTTCTTTGTCATTTTTGAAATTAAAAAACTACATGCAAGGTAAAGCTATTCTGCGTGTCAGGATGGCCGAGCGGTCTAAGGTGCTGCAATCAGGTCCTAGTCCACTTGCGTGGTTTCGAATCCCACTTCCGTCAATGTATTTCTTTCAGTCATTTTTTGAGGTTAAAAAATACATGCAAGGGAAAGCTATTTTGCGTGTCAGGGTGGCCGAGCGGTCTACGGCGCTGCGTTCAGGTCGCAGTCCACTTCTGTGGGCGTGGGTTCGAATCCCACTTCTGACAATAAAATTTTATTCAGTCATTTTTTTTAGTTCTCATAACTTAAATGTAAGGAAATGCTCTCGCACGTGTCAGGAAAGCCGAGTGGTCTAAGGCGCTGCAATCAGGTCGCAGTACACTTGCGCGTTCGCGGGTCAAACTCCCACGTCGAGCAATTATATTTAGTTGAGTTTTTTTTTTAGTTCTCATAAAGTAAATTAAAGGTTACGTTTTCTCAAATTTCAGGATGGCCAAGCGGTCAAAGGCGCTGCGTTCATGTCGAAGTCCACCCGGTTTTGGCGTGGGTTCTAATCCCACTTCTGATAATGTAATTTTATTGAGTCATTATTTTTTTAGTTTTCATAAACTAAATATAAGGCAAAGATTTTTCATAGGTTAAGATTCCTGAGTGGTCTAAAGCGCTGCGTTCCGGTCGTAGTAAAATTCTGCAGGCGTTGTTTCGGATTCCACATTTGACAATTATATTTCATTCATTCATTTTTTTAAGTTCTCATTAATTAAATGAAAAGTAACCCTCTCCCACGCGTCAGGATGCCCGAGCGGTCTAATACGCTGCGTTCAGGTCGCAGTCCACTTGTGTGGGCGTGAGTTCGAATCCCACATCTGTCAATGTATTTCTATTCAGTCATTTTTTGAGGTTAAAGAACTAAATGCAAGGGGAAGCTGTTTTGCGTGCCAGGAGGGACGAGCGGTTTACGGCGCTGCAATCAGGTCGTAGTCCTCTTGCGTGTTCGTGGGTTCAAATCCCACTTCGGACAATGTATTTATTTCAGTCATTTTTTGAGTTTTAAAAAACTACATGCAAGGGAATGCTATTCGACGTGTCAGGATGGCCGAGCGGTCTAAGGCGCCGCGTTTTTATCACATTCCACTTCTGTGGGCGTTAGTTCGAATCCCACTTCTGATAATGTAAATTTATTCAGTCATTATTTTTTTAGTTTTCATAAACTAAATGTAAGGGAAAGATCTTTCATAGGTTAAGGTTTCAGAGCGGTCTAAAGCGCCGCGTTTAGGTCGCAGTAAAATTCTGCAGGTGTGGTTTTGGATTCCACGTTTGACAATTATATTTCATTCATTCATTCTTTAAGTTCTCATTAATTAAATGAAAGGAAACACTCTCCCACCCTTCAGGATGGCCGAGCGGTCTAAGGCGCTGCGTTCAAGTCACAGACCAATTCTGTGGGCGTGGGTTCGAATCCCACTTCTGACAATAAATATTTATTCACATACTTTTCTTAGGTTCCAAAAACTAAATGTAAGGAAAAGTCTTTCACATATCAGGATAGCCGATCGGTCTAAGGCGCTGCGTTTAGATCACATTCCACTTCTGTGGGCGTGGGTTCGAATCCACTTCTGACAATAAAATTTTATTCAGTCATTTTTTTAGTTCTCATAACTTAATTGTAAGGAAACGCTCTCGCATTTGTCAGGATGGCCGAGCGGTCTAAGGCACTGCAATCAGGTCGCAGTACACTTGCGTGTTCGATGATCCAACTCCCACGTCGAGCAATTATATTTAGTTGAGTTATTTTTTTAGTTCTCATAAAGTAAATTAAAGGAAACGTTTTCTCAAATTTCAGAATGGCCAAGCGATCAAAGGCGCTTCGTTCATGTCGAAGTCCACTCGGTTTTGGCGTGGGTTCGAATCCCATTTCTGATAACGTAATTTTATTGAGTCATTATTTTTTTAGTTCTCATAAACTAAATGTAAGGGAAAAGATCTTGAATAGGTTAAGATTCCTGAGTGGACTAAAGCGCTGCGTTCAGGTCGCAGAAAAATTCTGCTGGCATGGTTCTGGATTCCACATTTGACAATTATATTTCATTCATTCATATTTTAAGTTATCATTAATTAAATGAAAGGAAACACTCTCCCACATGTCAGGATGGCCGAGCGGTTTAAGGCGCTGCGTTCAGGTCGCAGTCCACTTGTGTGGGCGTGGGTTCGAATCCCACTAATGACAATGTATTTCTATTCAGTCATTTTTTGAGGTTAAAGAACTAAATGCAAGGGAAAGCTGTTTTGCGTGTCAGGATGGCCGAGTGGTTTAAGGTGCTGCAATCAGGACCTAGTCCACTTGCTTGGGTTCGAATCCCACTTCTGACAATGTATTTCTTTCAGTCAATTATTGAGGTTAAAAACTACATGCAAGGGAAGCTATTTTGCGTGTCAGGATGGACGAGCGGTCTGGCACGGTCTAAGGCGCTGCGTTCAGGTCGCAGTCCACTTCTGTGGGCGTGGGTTCAAATCCCACTTCTGACAATAAAATTTTATTCAGTCTTTTTTTTTTTTTTTAGTTCTCATAACTTAAATGTAAGGAAACGCTTTTTCACGTGTCAGGATGGCCGAGCAGTCTAAGGCGCTGCGTTCAGGTCGCAGTCCACTTCTGTGGGCGTGGGTTCGAATCCACTTCTGACAATGTATTACTATGCAGTCATTTTTTGAGGTTAAAAACTACATGCAAGGGAAAGCTATTTTGCGTGTCAGGATGGCCGAGCGGTCTAAGGCGATGCGTTCAGGTCGCAGTCCACTTCTGTGGGCGTGGGTTCAAATCCCACTTCTGACAATAGAATTTTAATCAGTCATTTTTTTTTTTTAGTTCTTAACTTAAATGTAGGAAATGCTATCGCACGTGTCAGGATGGCCGAGCAAGGCGCTGCGTTCAGGTCGCAGTCCACTTCTGTGGGCGTGGGTTCGAATCCCACAACTGACAATGTTTTCTATTCAGTCATTTTTTGAGGTTAAAAACTACATGCAAGGAAAGCTATTTTGCGTGTCAGGATGGCCAGTGGTCTAAGTCGCTGCGTTCAGGTCGCAGTCCACTTCTGTGGGCGTGGGTTCGAATCCCACTTCTGACAATGTTTTTCTATTCAGTCATTTTTTGAGGTTAAAGAACTAAATGCAAGGGAAAGCTATTTTGCGTGTCAGGATGGCTGAGCGGTTTAAGGCGCTGCAATCAGGTCTTAGTCCACATGCGTGGGCGTGGGTTCGAATCCCACTTCTGACAATGTATTTCTTTCAGTCATTTTTTGAGGTTAAAAACTACATGCAAGGGAAAGCTATTTTGTGTGTCAGGATGGCCGAGCGGTCTAAGGCGCTGCGTTCAGGTCGCAGTCCACTTCTGTTTGCGTGGGTTCGAATCCCGCTCCTGACAATGTATTTCTATTCAGTCATTTTTTGAGGTTAAAGAACTAAATGCAAGGGAAAGCTATTTTGCGTGTCAGGATGGACGAGCGGTTTAAGGCGCTGCAATCAGGTCCTAGTCCACTTGCGTGGGCGTGGGTTCGAAGCCCACTTCTGACAATGTATTTCTTTCAGTCATTTTTTGAGGTTAAAAACTACATGCAAGGGAAAGTTACTTTGCGTGTCAGGATGGCCGAGTGGTCTAAGGCGCTGTGTTCAGGTCGCAGTCCACTTCTGTGGGCGTGGGTTCGAATCCCACTTCTGTCAATAAAATTTTATTCACATACTTTTCTTAGGTTCCAAAAACTAAATGTAAGGGAAAAAACTCTTTCACATGTCAGGATGGCCGATCGGTCTAAGGCGCTGCGTTTAGATCACATTCCACTTCTGTGGGCGTGGTTTCGAATCCCATTTCTGACAATAAAATTTTATTCAGTCATTTTTTTTTTTAGTTCTCATAACTTAAATGTAAGGAAACGATCTCAATGTCAGGATGGCCGAGCGGTCTATAAAAGGCGCTGCAATCAGGTCGCAGTACACTTGCGTGTTCGGGTGTCCAACTCCCACGTCGAGCAATTATATTTAGTTATTTTTTTTAGTTCTCATAAAGTAAATTAAAGGAAACGTTTTCTCAAATTTACGAATGGCCAAGTGGTCAAAGGCGCTGCGTTCTTGTCGAAGTCCACTCGGTTTTGGCGTGGGTTCGAATCCCACTTCTGATAATGTAAATTTATTCAGTCATTATTTTTTTAGTTCTCATAAACTAAATGTAAGGGAAAGATCTTTCACAGGTTAAGATTCCTGAGCGGTCTAAAGCGCTGCGTTTAAGTCGCAGTAAAATTCTGCAGGCGTGGTTTCGGATTCCACGTTTGACAATTATATTTCATTCATTCATTTTTTTAAGTTGTCATTAATTAAATGAAAGGAAACACTCTCCCACGTGTCAGGATGGCCGAGCGGTTTAAGGCGCTGCAATCAGGTCGTAGTCCACTTCCGTGTTCGTGGGTTCGACTGCGTTCATCCCACTTCTGACAATGTATTTCTTTCAGTCATTTTTTGAGGTTAAAAACTACAAGCAAGGGAAAGCTTTTCTGCGTGTCAGGATGGCCGAGCGGTGTAAGGCGCTGCAATCAGGTCTAGTCCACATGCGTGGGCTTGGGTTCGAATCCCACTTCTGACAATGTATTTCTTTCAGTCATTTTTTGAGGTTAAAAACTACATGCAAGGGAAAGCTATTTTGCGTGTCAGGATGGCCGAGCGGTCTAAGGCGCTGCGTTCAGGTCGCAGTCCACTTCTGTGGGCGTGGGTTCGAATCCCACTTCTGACAATTAAATTTTATTCACATACTTTTCTTAGGTTCCAAAAACTAAATGTAAGGGAAAAGTCTTTAACATGTCAGGATGGCCGATCGGTCTAAAGCGATGCGTTTAGATCACATTCCACTTTTGTGGGCGTGGGTTCAAATCCCACTTCTGACAATAAAATTTTATTCAGTCTTTTTTTTTTTAGTTCTCATAACTTAAATGTAAGGAAACGCTTTTGCACGTGTCAGGATGGCCGAGCGGTCTAAGGCGCTGCGTTCAGGTCGCAGTTCACTTGTGTGGGCGTGGGTTCGAATCCCACTTCAGACAATGTATTTCTTTTCAGTCATATTTTTGAGGTTAAAGAACTAAATGCAAGGGAAAGCTATATTGCGTGTCAGGAGGGACGAGCGGTTTAAAGCGCTGCAAGCAGGTCATAGACCACTTGCGTGTTCGTGGGTTCGAATCCCATTTCAGCCAATGTATTTCTTTCAGTCATTTTTTGAGTTTTAAAAGTTATATGCAAGGAAAGCTATTCTGTGTGTCAGGATGGCCGAGTGGTCTAAGGCGCTGCGTTCAGGTCGCAGTCCACTTCTGTGGGCGTGGGTTTGAATCCCACTTCTGACAATAAAATTTTATTCACATACTTTTCTTAGGTTCCAAAAACTGAATGTAAGGGAAAAAACTCTTTCACATGTCAGGATGGCCGATCGGTCTAAGGCGCTGCGTTTTGATCATATTCCACTTCTGTGGGCGTGGGTTAAAATCCCACTTCTAACAATAAAATTTTATTCAGTCATTTTTTTTTAGTTCTCATAACTTAAATATAAGGAAAGGCTCTCGCTCGTGTCAGGATGGCCGAGTTGTCTAAGGCGATTTAATCAGGTCGCAGTACAATTGCGTGTTCGGGGGTCCAACTCCCACGTCGAGCAATTATATTTAGTTGAGTTATTTTTTTAGTTCTTATAAAGTAAATTAAAGGAAACGTTTTCTCAAATTTCAGGATGGCCAAGCGGTCAAAGGCGCTGCGTTCATGTCGAAGTCCACGGTTTTGGCGTGGGTTAGAATCCCACTTCTGATAATGTAATTTTATTCAGTCATTATTTTTTTATTTCTCATAAACTAAATGTAAGGGAAAGATCTTTCACAGGTTAAGATTCCTGAGCGGGCGCTGCGTTTAAGTCGCAGTAAAATTCTGCAGGCGTTGTTTCGGATTCCACGTTTGACAATTATATTTCATTCATTCATTTTTTTTTTAAGTTCTCATTAATTAAATGAAAGTAAAAGCTTCCTGCGTGTCAGGATGGCCGTCATTTTTAAGGTCTAAGGCGCTGCGTTCAGAAGGGACGAGCGGTTTCTAAGGCGCTGCAAGCAGGTCATAGTCCACTCTGCGTGTTCGTGGGTTCGAATCCCACTTCAGACAATGTATTTCTTTCAGTCATTTTTTGAGTTAAAAAGTTATATGCAAGGGGGTTCAGGATGGCCGAGCGGTCTAAGGCGCTGCGTTCAGGTCGCAGTCCACTTCTGTGGGCGTGGGTTTCTGACAATGTATTTCAGTTTTCAGTCATTTTTTGAGGTTAAAAACTAAATGCAAGGAAAGCTATTTTGCGTGTCAGGATGGCCGAGCGGTCTAAGGCGCTGCGTTCAGGTCATAGTCCACTTCTGTGGGCGTGGGTTCGAATCCCACTTCTGACAATAAAATTTTATTCAGTCATTTTTTTTTTTTAGTTCTCATAACTTAAATGTAAGGAAACGCTCTCGCACGTGTCAGGATGGCCGAGCGGTCTAAGGCGCTGCAAATCAGGTCGCAGTACACTTGCGTGTTCGGGGTCCAACTCCCACGTCGAGCAATTATATTTAGTTGAGTTATTTTTTTTTAGTTCTCATAAAGTAAATTAAAGGAAAAGTTTTCTCAAATTTCAGGATGGCCAAGCGGTCAAAGGCGCTGCGTTCATGTCGAAGTCCACTCGGTTTTGGCGTGGGTTCGAATCCCACTTCTGATAATGTAATTTTATTCAGTCATTATTTTTTTAGTTTTCATAAACTAAATGTAAGGGAAAGATTTTCACAGGTTAAGATTCCTGAGCGGTCTAAAGCGCTGCGTTTAAGTCGCAGTAAAATTTGCAGGCGTGGTTTCGGATTCGTTTGATAATAATATTTCATTCATTCATTTTTTAAGTTCTCATTAATTAAATGAAAGGAAACACTCTCCCACGTGTCAGGATGCCGAGCGGTCTAAGGCGCTGCGTTCAGGTCGCATTCCACTTGTGTGGGCGTGGGTTCGATCCCACTTCTGAAATGTATTTCTATTCAGTCATTTTTTGAGTTTAAAGAACTAAATGCAAGGGAAAGCTATCCCACGTGTCAGGATGGCCGAGCGGTCTAAGGCGCTGCGTTCAGGTCGTCATTTTTTGAGTCCACTTCTGTGTGGCGTGGGTTCGAATCCCACTTCTGACAATCAAACAATTTTATTCACAGTCACTTTTTTAGGTTCCAAAAACTAAATGTAAGGGAAAACTATTTCACATGTCAGGATGGCCGATCGGTCTAAGGCGCTGCGTTTAGATCACATTCCCTTCTGTGGGCGTGGGTTCGAATCCCACTTCTGACAATAAAATTTTATTCAGTCATTTTTTTTTAGTTCTCATAACTTAAATGTAAGGAAACGCTCTCGCACGTGTCAGGATGGCCGAGCGGTCTAAGGCGCTGCAATCAGGTCGCAGTACACTTATGCGTGTTCGGGGGTCCAACTCCCACGTCGAGCAATTATATTTATTGAGTTATTTTTTTAGTTCTCATAAAGTAAATTAAAGGAAACGTTTTCTCAAATTTCAGGATGGCCGAGCGGTCAAAGGCGCTGCGTTCATGTCGAAGTCCACTCGGTTTTGGCGTGGGTTCGAATCCCACTTCTGATAATGTAATTTTATTGAGTCATTATTTTTTTAGGTTTCATAAACTAAATGTAAGGGAAAGATCTTTCACAGGTTAAGATTCTGAGCGGTCTAAAGCGCTGCGTTTAAGTCGCAGTAAAATTCTGCAGGCGTGGTTTCGAATTCCACGTTTGATAATAAAATTTTATTCATTCATTTTTTTTTTAAGTTCTCATTAATTAAATGAAAGGAAAGCTCCCCACACGTGTCAGGATGGCCGAGCGGTCTAAGGCGCTGCGTTCAGGTCGCAGTCCACTGCGTGGGTTCGAATCCCACTTTGACAATGTATTTCATTTTTATTCAAGGGAAAGTCTATTTTTTTGAGGTTAAAGAACTAAATGTCGCAGTCCAAGGGTTGTCGTGTAAAGAACTAAATGCAAGGGGGCCGAGCGGTTTAAGGCGCTGATCAGGTCGTAGTCCACTAGCGTGTTCGTGGGTTCGAATCCCACTTCGGACAATGTATTTTTTCAGTCATTTTTTTGAGTTTAAAAACTAAATGCAAGGAAAGCTATTCTGCGTGTCAGGATGGCCGAGCGGTCTAAGGCGCTGCGTTCAGGTCGCAGTCCACTTCTGTGGGCGTGGGTTCGAATCCCACTTCTGACAATAAAAATTTATTCAGTCATATTTTTTTAGTTTCAAAACTAAATGTAAGGGAAAATCTTTCACATGTCAGGATGGCCTGATCGGTCTAAGGCGCTGCGTTTTGATCACATTCCACTTCTGTGGGCGTGGGTTCGAATCCCACTTCTGACAATAAAATTTTATTCAGTCATTTTTTTAGTTCTCATAACTTAAATGTAAGGAAACGCTCTCGCACGTGTCAGGATGGCCGATTGGTCTAAGCGCTTTAATCAGGTCGCAGTACACTTGCGTGTTCGGGGGTCAACTCCCACGTCGAGCAATTTTATTTAGTTGAGTTTTTTTTTTTAGTTCTCATAAATTAAATTAAAGGAAACGTTCTCTCATATTTCAGAATGGCCAAGTGGTCAAAGGCGCTTCGTTCAGGTCGAAATCCACTCGGTTTTGGCGTGGGTTCGAATCCCACTTCTGATAATGTAATTTTTTTCAGTCATTATTTTTTTAGTTTTCATAAACGAAGTGTAATGGAAAGATCTTTCACAGGTTAAGATTCTGAGTGGTCTAAAGCGCTGCGTTTAAGTCGCAGTAAAATTCTGCAGGCGTGGTTTCGGATTCCACATTTGACAAATATATTTCATTCATTCATTTTTTAAGTTCTCATTAATTAAATGAAAGGAAACACTCTCCCACGTGTCAGGATGGCCGAGCGGTCTAAGGCGCTGCGTTTCAGGTCGCAGTCCACTTTGTGTGGGCGTGGGTTCGAATCCCACTTCTGACAATGTATTTCTATTCAGTCATTTTTTAAGGTTAAAGAACTAAATGCAAGGGAAAGCTATTTTGCGTGTCAGGAGGGACGAGCGGTTTAAGGCGCTTAGGTCATAGACCACTTTGCGTGTTCGTGGGTTTCTATGACAATGTATTTTCTTTCAGTCATTTTTGAGTTTTAAAAAATATGCAAGGGAAAGCTATTCTGCGTGTCAGGATGGCCGAGTGCGTCTAAGGCGCTCGTTCAGGTCGCAGTCCACTTCTGTGGGCGTGGGTTCGAATACCACTTCTGACAATAAAATTTTATTCACATACTTTTCTTAGGTTCCAAAAACTAAATGTAAGGGAAAAGTCTTTCACATGTCAGGATGGCCGATCGGTCTAAGGCGCTGCGTTTAGATCATTCCACTTCTGTGGGCGTGGGTTCGAATCCCACTTCTGACAATAAAATTTTATTCAGTCATTTTTTTTTAGTTCTCATAACTTAAATGTAAGGAAACGCTCTCGCACGTGTCAGGATGCCGAGTGGTCTAAGGCGCTGCAATGGTCCAGTACACTTGCGCGTTCGGGGGTCCAAACTCCCACGTCGAGCAATTATATTTAGTTGAGTTATTTTTTTAGTTCTCATAAAGTAAATTGAAACGTTTTCTCAAATTTCAGGATGGCCAAGCGGTCAAAGGCGCTGCGTTCATGTCGAAGTCGGTTTTGGCGTGGGTTCGAATCCCACTTCTGATAATGTAATTTTATTCAGTCATTATTTTTAGTTCTCATAAACTAAATGTAAGGGAAAAGATCTTTCACAGGTTAAGATTCCTGAGCGGTCTAAAGCGCTGCGTTTAAGTCGCAGTAAAATTCTGCAGGCGTGGTTTCGTATTCCACGTTTGACAATTATATTTCATTCATTCATTTTTTTAAGTTCTCATTAATTAAATGAAAGGAAACACTCTCCCACGTGTCAGGATGGCCGAGCGGTCTAAGGCGCTGCGTTCAGGTCGCAGTCCACTGGGCGTTGGTTTCAAATCCACATTTTTTGACAATGTATTTCTATTCAGTCATTTTTTGAGGTTAAAGAACTAAATGCAAGGAAAGCTATTTTTGCGTGTCAGGATGGACGAGCGGTTTAAGGCGCTGCAATCAGGTCGAAGTCCACTTGCGTGTGGGCGTGGTTCGAATCCCACTTCTGACAATGTATTTTTATTCAGTCATTTTTTGAGGTTTCCAAAAACTATGCAAGGGAAAGCTATTTTGCGTGTCAATGTAAGGCGCTGCGTTCAAGTCCACTTCTGTGGGCGTGGGTTTTTCTGACAATGTCAGGATGGCCGCTATTTTCGTGTCAGGATGGCGCTGCGTTTAGTTCAGTCAATCCACTTCTGTGGGCGTGGGTTCGAATCCCACTTCTGACAATAAAATTTTATTCAGTCTTTTTTTTTTAGTTCTCATAACTTAAATGTAAGGAAACGCTCTCGCACGTGTCAGGATGGCCGAGCGGTCTAAGGCGCTGCAATCAGGTCGCAGTACACTTGCGTGTTCGGGGGTCCAACTCCCACGTCGAGCAATTATATTTAGTTGAGTTATTTTTTTAGTTCTCATAAAGTAAATTAAAGGAAACGTTTTCTCAAATTTCAGGATGGCCAAGCGGTCAAAGGCGCTGCGTTCATGTCGAAGTCCACTCGGTTTTGGCGTGGGTTCGAATCCCACTTCTGATAATGTAATTTTATTCAGTCATTTTTTTTAGTTCTCATAAACTAAATGTAAGGGAAAGATCTTTCACAGGTTAAGATTCCTGAGCGGTCTAAAGCGCTGCGTTTAAGTCGCAGTAAAATTCTGCAGGCGTGGTTTCGGATTCCACGTTTGACAATTATATTTCATTCATTCATTTTTTTAAGTTCTCATTAATTAAATGAAAGGAAACCCTCTCCCACGTGTCAGGATGGCCGAGCGGTCTAAGGCGCTGCGTTCAGGTCGCAGTCCACTTGTGTGGGCGTGGGTTCGAATCCCACTTCTGACAATGTATTTCTATTCAGTCATTTTTTGAGGTTAAAGAACTAAATGCAAGGGAAAATTTTGCGTGTCAGGAAAGCGGTTTTAAGGCGCTATTCAGGCACAGTCCACTTCTGTCAGGATGGACAATAAAAATTTTATTCGAGTCGGTTTCAAAACTTAAATAAAGCGCTGTCAGGATCAGGTGCGTTCAGGTCGCAGTCCACTTGCGTTTCTGACAATAAAATTTTATTCAGTGGCTCCCACGTCAGGATGGCCGAGCGGTCTAAAGCGCTGCAATCTGTGGGTCGTTCGACAAGTCCACTTGCGTGTTCGCGGGTTAAAGAAATCCCACGTCGATATTTAGTTTGAGTCATTTTTTAGTTTCAAAAGTAAATTAAAGGAAACGGTTTCTCAAATTTCAGGATGGCCGAGCGGTCAAAGGCGCTGCGTTCATGTCGAAGTCCACTCGGTTTTGGCGTGGGTTCGAATCCCACTTCTGATAATGTAATTTTATTCAGTCATTATTTTTTTAGTTCTCATAAACTAAATGTAAGGGAAAGATCTTTCACAGGTTAAGATTCCTGAGCGGTCTAAAGCGCTGCGTTTAAGTCGCAGTAAAATTCTGCAGGCGTGGTTTCGCATTCCACGTTTGACAATTATGTTTCATTTATTCATTTTTTTTTAATTTCTCATTAATTAAATGAAAGGAAACACTGTCCCACGTGTCAGGATAGCCGAAAGGTCTAAGGCGCTGCGTTCAGATCGCAGTCCACTTGTGTGGGCGTGGGTTCGAATCCCACTTCTGACAATGTATTTCTATTCAGTCATTTTTTGAGGTTAAAGAACTAAATGCAAGGGAAAGCTATTTTGCGTGTCAGGAGGGACGAGCGGTTTAAGGCGCTGCAATCAGGTCGTAGTCCACTTGCGTGTTCGTGGGTTCGAATCCCACTTCGGACAATGTATTTCTTTCAGTCATTTTTTGAGTTTTAAAAAACTTACATGCAAGGGAAAGCTATTCTGCGTGTCAGGATGGCCGAGCGGTCTAAGGCGCTGCGTTCAGGTCGCAGTCCACTTCTGTGGGCGTGGGTTCGAATCCCACTTCTGACAATAAAATTTTATTCACATACTTTTTTAGGTTCCAAAAAACTAAATGTAAGGGAAACCTCTTTCACGTGTCAGGATGGCCGATCGGTCTAAGGCGCTGCGTTTAGATCACATTCCACTTCTGTGGGCGTGGGTTCGAATCCCACTTCTGACAATAAAATTTTATTCAGTCATTTTTTTAGTTCTCATAACTTAAATGTAAGGAAACGCTCCCGCACGTGTCAGGATGGCCGAGCGGTCTAAAGCGCTGCAATCAGGTCGAAGTACACTTGCGTTTTCTGGGTCTAACTCCCACGTTGAGCAATTATATTTAGTTGAGTTATTTTTTTTTTAGTTCTCATAAAGTACATTAAAGGTTACGTTTCCTTAAATTTCAAGATGGCCAAGCGGTCAAAGGCGCTGCGTTCATGTCGAAGTCCACCCGGTTTTGGCGTGGGTTCGAATCCCACTTCTGATAATGTAATTTTATTGAGTCATTATTTTTTTAGGTCTCATAAACTAAATGTAAGGGAAAGATCTTTCACAGGTTAAGATTCCTGAGCGGTCTAAAGCGCTGCGTTTAAGTCGCAGTAAAATTCTGCAGGCGTGGTTTCGGATTCCACGTTTGACAATTATATTTCATTCATTCATTTTTTTTAAGTTCTCATTAATTAAATGAAAGGAAACACTCTCCCACGTGTCAGGATGGCCGAGCGGTCTAAGGCGCTGCGTTCAGGTCGCAGTCCACTTGTGTGGGCGTGGGTTCGAATCCCACTTCTGACAATGTATTTCTATTCAGTCATTTTTTGAGGTTAAAGAACTAAATGCAAGGGAAAGCTATTTTGCGTGTCAGGATGGACGAGCGGTTTAAGGCGCTGCAATCAGGTCGTAGTCCACTTCCGTGTTCGTGGGTTCGAATCCCACTTCTGACAATGTATTTCTTTCAGTCATTTTTTGAGTTTTAAAAAACTACATGCAAGGGAAAGCTATTTTCGTGTCAGGATGGCCGAGCGGTCTAAAGGCGCTGCGTTCAGGTCGCAGTCCACTTCTGTGGGCGTGGGTTCGAATTCCACTTTGACAATAAAATTTTATTCAGTCATTTTTTTTAGTTCTCAAAAATTAAATGTAAGGGAAACACTTTTCACGTGTCAGGATGGCCGAGCGGTCTAAAGGCGCTGCGTTCAGGTCGCATTCCACTTCTGTGGGCGGTTCGAATCCCACTTCTGACAATGTATTTTATTCAGTCATTTTTTGAGTTCTTAACTAAATGCAAGGGAAACTATTTTGCGTGTCAGGATGGCCGAGCGGTTTAAGGCGCTGCAATCAGGTCGTAGTCCACTTGCGTGGGCGTGGGTTCGAATCCCACTTCTGACAATGTATATTTTCAGTCATTTTTTGAGTTTAAAAAATAAATGCAAGGGAAAGCTTTTTTGCGTGTCAGGATGGCCGAGCGGTCTAAGGCGCTGCGTTCAGGTCGCAGTCCACTTCTGTGGGCGTGGGTTCGAATCCCACTTCTGACAATAAAATTTTATTCACATTTTATTAGGTTCCAAAAACTAAATGTAAGGGAAACTCTTTCACATGTCAGGATGGCCGATCGGTCTAAGGCGCTGCGTTTAGATCACATTCCACTTCTGTGGGCGTGGGTTCGAATCCCACTTCTGACAATAAAATTTTATTCAGTCATTTTTTTTTTAGTTCTCATAACTTAAATGTAAGGAAACGCTCTCGCACGTGTCAGGATGGCCGAGCGGTCTAAGGCGCTGCAATCAGGTCGCAGTACACTTGCGTGTTCGGGGTCCAACTCCCACGTCGAGCAATTATATTTAGTTGAGTTATTTTTTTTAGTTCTCATAAAGTAAATTAAAGGAAACGTTTTCTCAAATTTCAAAATGGCCAAGCGGTCAAAGGCGCTGCGTTCATGTCGAAGTCCACTCGGTTTTGGCGTGGGTTCTAATCCCACTTCTGATAATGTAATTTTATTGAGTCATTATTTTTTTAGGTCTCATAAACTAAATGTAAGGGAAAGATCTTTCACAGGTTAAGATTCCTGAGCGGTCTAAAGCGCTGCGTTTAAGTCGCAGTAAAATTCTGCAGGTGTGGTTTCGGATTCCACGTTTGACAGTTATATTTCATTCATTCATTTTTTTAAGTTCTCATTAATTAAATGAAAGGAAACACTCTCCCACGTGTCAGGATGGCCGAGCGGTCTAAGGCGCTGCGTTCAGGTCGCAGTCCACTTGTGTGGGCGTGGGTTCGAATCCCACTTCTGACAATGTATTTCTATTCAGTCATTTTTTGAGTTTAAAAAACTACATGCAAGGGAAAGCTATTTTGCGTGTCAGGATGGCCGAGCGGTCTAAGGCGCTGCGTTCAGGTCGCAGTCCACTTCTGTGGGCGTGGGTTCGAATCCCACTTCTGACAATAAAAATTTATTCAGGTATTTTTTTAGGTTCCAAAAACTAAATTTAAGGTAAATCTCTTTCACATGTCAGGATGGCCGATCGGTCTAAGGCGCTGCGTTTAGATCACATTCCACTTCTGTGGGCGTGGGTTCGAATCCCACTTCTGACAATAAAATTTTATTCAGTCATTTTTTTTAGTTCTCATAACTTAAATGTAAGGAAACGCTCTCGCACATGTCAGGATGGCAGAGCCGTCTAAGGCGCTGCAATCAGGTCGCAGTACACTTGCGTGTTCGCGAGTCCAACTCCCACGTCGAGCAATTAGATTTAGTTGAGCTATTTCTTTTAGTTCTCATAAAGTAAATTAAAGGAAACGTTTTCTCAAATTTCAGGATGGCCAAGCGGTCAAAGGCGCTGCGTTCATGTCGAAGTCCACTCGGTTTTGGCGTGGGTTCGAATCCCACTTCTGATAATGTAATTTTATTGAGTCATTATTTTTTTAGTTCTCATAAACTAAATGTAAGGGAAAGATCTTTCACAGGTTAAGATTCCTGAGCGGTCTAAAGCGCTGCGTTTAAGTCGCAGTAAAATTCTGCAGGCGTGGTTTCGGATTCCACGTTTGACAATTATATTTCATTCATTCATTTTTTTAAGTTCTCATTAATTAAATGAAAGGAAACACTCTCCCACGTGTCAGGATGGCCGAGCGGTCTAAGGCGCTGCGTTCAGGTCGCAGTCCACTTGTGTGGGCGTGGGTTCGAATCCCACTTCTGACAATGTATTTCTATTCAGTCATTTTTTGAGGTTAAAAACTAAATGCAAGGGAAAGCTATTTTGCGTGTCAGGATGGCCGATGGTCTAAGGCGCTGCGTTTCAGGCTTCCACTTCTGTGGGCGTGGGTTCGAATCCCACTTCTGACAATGTATTTCTATTCAGTCATTTTTGAGGTTAAAGAACTAAATGCAAGGGAAAGCTATTTTGCGTGTCAGGATGGACGAGCGGTTTAAGGCGCTGCAATCAGGTCGTAGTCCACTTGCGTGTTCGTGGGTTCGAATCCCACTTCGGACAATGTATTTCTTTCAGTCATTTTTTGAGTTTTAAAAAACTACATGCAAGGGAAAGCTATTTTGCGTGTCAGGATGGCCGAGCGGTCTAAGGCGCTGCGTTCAGGTCGCAGTCCACTTCTGTGGGCGTGGGTTCGAATCCCACTTCTGACAATAAAATTTTATTCACATACTTTTCTTAGGTTCCAAAACTAAATGTAAGGGAAAACTCTTTCACATGTCAGGATGGCCGATCGGTCTAAGGCGCTGCGTTTAGATCACATTCCACTTCTGTGGGCGTGGGTTCGAATCCCACTTCTGACAATAAAATTTTATTCAGTCATTTTTTTAGTTCTCATAACTTAAATGTAAGGAAACGCTCTCGCACGTGTCAGGATGGCCGAGCGGTCTAAGGCGCTGCAATCAGGTCGCAGTACACTTGCGCGTTCGCGGGTCAAACTCCACGTCGAGCAATTATATTTAGTTGAGTTATTTTTTTTTAGTTCTCATAAAGTAAATTAAAGGAAACGTTTTCTCAAATTTCAGGATGGCCAAGCGGTCAAAGGCGCTGCGTTCATGTCGAAGTCCACTCGGTTTTGGCGTGGGTTCGAATCCCACTTCTGATAATGTAATTTTATTCAGTCATTATTTTTTTAGTTCTCATAAACTAAATGTAAGGGAAAGATCTTTCACAGGTTAAGATTCCTGAGCGGTCTAAAGCGCTGCGTTTAAGTCGCATTAAAATTCTGCAGGCGTGGTTTCGGATTCCACGTTTGACAATTATATTTCATTCATTCATTTTTTTAAGTTCTCATTAATTAAATGAAAGGAAACACTCTCCTCCGTGTCAGGATGGCCGAGCGGTCTAAGGCGCTGCGTTCAGGTCGCAGTCCACTTGTGTGGGCGTGGGTTCGAATCCCACTTCTGACAATAAAATTTTATTCAGTCATTTTTTGAGATTAAAGAACTAAATGCAAGGGAAAGCAGTAACATTTTTTGCGTGTCAGGACGTGTCAGGACGAGCGGTTTAAGGCGCTGCAATCAGGTTAGTCCACTTGCGTGTTCGTGGGTTTGAATCCCACGTCGAGCAATGTATTTTTCAGTCATTTTTTTAGTTTCAAAAAGTAAATTAAAGGAAAGCTATTTGTCAAATGTCAGGATGGCCAAGCGGTCAAAGGCGCTGCGTTCATGTCGAAGTCCACTCGGTTTTGGCGTGGGTTCGAATCCCACTTCTGATAATGTAATTTTATTCAGTCATTATTTTTTTAGTTCTCATAAACTAAATGTAAGGGAAAGATCTTTCACAGGTTAAGATTCCTGAGCGGTCTAAAGCGCTGCGTTTAAGTCGCAGTAAAATTCTGCAGGCGTGGTTTCGGATTCCACGTTTGACAATTATATTTCATTCATTCATTTTTTTAAGTTCTCATTAATTAAATGAAAGGAAACACTCTCCCACGTGTCAGGATGGCCGAGCGGTCTAAGGCGCTGCGTTCAGGTCGCAGTCCACTTGTGTGGGCGTGGGTTCGAATCCCACTTCTGACAATGTATTTCTATTCAGTCATTTTTTGAGGTTTAAAAAACTAAATGCAAGGGAAAGCATTTTTGTTGAATGGTTAAAGGTCGCAGTCCACTTCTGTGGGCGTGGGTTCGAATCCCACTTCTGACAATGTATTTCTATTCAGTCATTTTTTGAGGTTAAAGAACTAAATGCAAGGGAAAGCTATTTTGCGTGTCAGGATGGACGAGCGGTTTAAGGCGCTGCAATCAGGTCGTAGTCCACTTGCGTGGGCGTTGGTTCGAATCCCACTTCTGACAATGTATTTCTTTCAGTCATTTTTTGAGGTTAAAAAACTTTATGCAAGGGAAAGCTTTTTTGCGTGTCAGGATGGCCGAGTGGTCTAAGGCGCTGCGTTCAGGTCGCAGTCCACTTCTGTGGGCGTGGGTTCGAATCCCACTTCTGACAATAAAATTTTATTCAGTCATTTTTTTTAGTTCTCAAAACTAAATGTAAGGAAAAACTCTTTCACATGTCAGGATGGCCGATCGGTCAAAGGCGCTGCGGTCATCACTTCTGTGGGCGTGGGTTCGAATCCCACTTCTGACAATAAAATTTTATTCAGTCATTTTTTTAGCGCTGCACGTGTCAGGATGGCCGTCGGTCTTCTGCAATCCGGTCGCCGTACACTTGCGTGTTCGTGGGTCCAACTCCCACGTCGAGCAATTATATTTAGTTGAGTTATTTTTTTTAGTTCTCATAAAGTAAATTAAAGGAAACGTTTTCTCAAATTTCAGGATGGCCAAGCGGTCAAAGGCGCTGCGTTCATGTCGAAGTCCACTCGGTTTTGGCGTGGGTTCGAATCCCACTTCTGATAATGTAATTTTATTCAGTCATTATTTTTTTAGTTCTCATAAACTAAATGTAAGGGAAAGATCTTTCACAGGTTAAGATTCCTGAGCGGTCTAAAGCGCTGCGTTTAAGTCGCAGTAAAATTCTGCAGGCGTGGTTTCGGATTCCACGTTTGACAATTATATTTCATTCATTCATTTTTTAAGTTCTCATTAATTAAATGAAAGGAAACACTCTCCCACGTGTCAGGATGGCCGAGCGGTCTAAGGCGCTGCGTTCAGGTCGCAGTCCACTTGTGTGGGCGTGGGTTCGAATCCCACTTCTGACAATGTTTTTATTCAGTCATTTTTTGAGGTTAAAGAACTAAATGCAAGGGAAAGCTATTTTCCGTGTCAGGATGGGACGAGCGGTTTAAGGCGCTGCAATCAGGTCGTATTTTGCGTGTTCGTGGGTTCAAAGGGTGAGTGGTCGACAATGTATTTATTTCAGTCATTTTTTAGTTAAAAAGTACATGCAAGGGAAAGCTTTTCTCAAATGTCAGGATGGCCGAGCGGTCAAAGGCGCTGCGTTCATGTCGAATCGGTTTTGGCGTGGGTTCGAATCCCACTTCTGATAATGTAATTTTATTCAGTCATTTTTTTTTTAGTTCTCATAAACTAAATGTAAGGGAAAGATCTTTCACAGGTTAAAATTCCTGAGCGGTCTAAAGCGCTGCGTTTAAGTCGCAGTAAAATTCTGCAGGCGTGGTTTCGGATTCCACGTTTGACAATTATATTTCATTCATTCATTTTTTTAAGTTCTCAAAAAATTAAATGAAAGGAAACACTCTCCCACGTGTCAGGATGGCCGAGCGGTCTAAGGCGCTGCGTTCAGGTCGCATTCCACTTCTGTGGGCGTGGGTTCGAATCCCACTTCTGACAATGTATTTTATTCAGTCATTTTTTGAGGTTTTTGCAAGGGAAAGTTCAGGATCAGGCGCTGCAAAGGTCTAGTCCACTTCCGTTTTCAACTTCTGACAATGTATTTCTTTCAGTCATTTTTTGAGGTTAAAAACTACTGTAAGGGAAAGCTATTTCACGTGTCAGGATGGCCGAGCGGTCTAAGGCGCTGCGTTCAGATCGCAGTCCACTTCTGTGGGCGTGGGTTCGAATCCCACTTCTGACAATAAAATTTTATTCAGTCATTTTTTAGTTCTCATAACTTAAATGTAAGGGAAACGATCTCGCACGTGTCAGGATGGCCGAGCGGTCGTCGCTACTTCTGACAAAAGTCAGGTCGCAAGTAAACTTTGCGTGTCGGGGGTCAAACTCCCACGTCGAGCAATTATATTTAGTTGAGCTATTTTTTAGTTCTCATATAGTAAATTAAAAGAAACGTTTTCAATTTCAGGATGGCCAAGCGGTCAAAGGCGCTGCGTTCATGTCGAAGTCCACTCGGTTTTGGCGTGGGTTCGAATCCCACTTCTGATAATGTAATTTTATTCAGTCATTTTTTTTAGTTCTCATAAACTAAATGTAAGGGAAAGATCTTTCACAGGTTAAGATTCCTGAGCGGTTAAAGCGCTGCGTTTAAGTCGCAGTAAAATTCTGCAGGCGTGGTTTCGGATTCCACGTTTGATAAATTATATTTCATTCATTCATTTTTTAAGTTCTCATTAATTAAATGAAAGGAAACTCTCTTCCACGTGTCAGGATGGCCGAGCGGTCTAAGGCGCTGCGTTCAGGTCGCAGTCCACTTCTGTGGGCGTGGGTTCGAATCCCACTTCTGACAATGTATTTCTATTCAGTCATTTTTTGAGGTTAAAGAACTAAATGCAAGGGAAAGCTATTTTGCGTGTCAGGATCAGGTCGTGGTCCACTTCCGTGAGCGGTTCGAATTTCTGACAATGTATTTCTTTCAAGCGCTGCGCAATCAGGTCATAGTCCAGTCCACATGCGTGTTCGTGGGTTGAATCCACTTCTGACAATGTATTTCTTTCAGTCATTTTTTGAGGTTAAAAAGTTACATGCAAGGAAAGCTATTTTGCGTGTCAGGATGGCCGAGCGGTCTAAGGCGCTGCGTTCAGGTCGCAGTCCACTTCTGTGGGCGTGGGTTCGAATCCCACTTCTGACAATAAAATTTTATTCACAGTCATTTTTTAGTTCTCATAACTTAAATGTAAGGGAAACGCTTTTTCACGTGTCAGGATGGCCGAGCGGTCTAAGGCGCTGCGTTCAGGTCGCATTCCAAAATTTTGTGGGCGTGGTTCAAATCCCAACAATAAAATTTTATTCCAGTTAGAGCAATTATATTTATTGAGCTCATTTTTTTTAGTTCTCATTTATAGTAAATTCAAATTTTTTGAGGTTAAAAACTTTATGCAAGGGAAAGCTATTTTCGTGTTGGCCGAGCGGTCTAAGGCGTTGCGTTTAGGTCACAGATAAAATTCTGTGGGCGTGGGCGAATCCCACGTCTGACAATGTATTTCTATTCATTCATTTTTTGAGTTTCATTAACTAAATGAAAGGGAAAGCTATTTTGCGTGTCAGGATGGCCGAGCGGTTTAAGGCGCTGCGTTCAGGTCGCAGTCCACTTGCGTGGGCGTGGGTTCAAATCCCACTTCTGACAATGTATTTCTATTCAGTCATTTTTTGAGGTTAAAGAACTAAATGCAAGGGAAAGCTATTTTGCGTGTCAGGATGGCCGAGCGGTCTAAGGCGCTGCGTTCAGGTCGCAGTCCACTTCTGTGGGCGTGGGTTCGAATCCCACTTCTGACAATAAAATTTTATTCACATACTTTTCTTAGGTTCCAAAAACTAAATGTAATGGAAAAAAATATTTCACATGTCAGGATGGTCGATCGGTCTAAGGCGCTGCGTTTAGATCACATTCCACTTCTGTGGGCGTGGGTTCGAATCCCACTTCTGACAATAAAATTTTATTCAGTCATTTTTTTTTTTAGTTCTCATAACTTAAATGTAAGGAAACGCTCTCGCACGTGTCAGGATGGCCGAGCGGTCTAAGGCGCTGCAAACAGGTCGCAAGACACATGCGTGTTAGGGGTCTAACTCCCACGTCGAGCAATTATATTTAGTTGTTATTTTTTTAGTTCTCATAAAGTAAATTAAAGGAAACGTTTTCTCAAATTTCAGGATGGCCAAGCGGTCAAAGGCGCTGCGTTCATGTCGAAGTCCACTCGGTTTTGGCGTGGGTTCGAATCCCACTTCTGATAATGTAATTTTATTCAGTCATTATTTTTTAGTTCTCATAAACTAAATGTAAGGGAAAGATCTTTCACAGGTTAAGATTCTGAGCGGTCTAAAGCGCTGCGTTTAAGTCGCAGTAAAATTCTGCAGGCGTGGTTTCGGATTCCACGTTTGACAATTATATTTCATTCATTCATTTTTTTAAGTTCTCATTAATTAAATGAAAGGAAACACTCTCCCACGTGTCAGGATGGCCGAGCGGTCTAAGGCGCTGCGTTCAGGTCGCAGTCCACTTGTGTGGGCGTGGGTTCGAATCCCACTTCTGACAATGTATTTCTATTCAGTCATTTTTTGAGGTTAAAGAACTAAATGCAAGGGAAAGCTATTTTGCGTGTCAGGAGGGACGAGCGGAGGCGCTGCAATCAGGTCGTAGTCCACTTCCGTGTTCGTGGGTTCGAATCCCACTTCTGACAATGTATTTCTTTCAGTCATTTTTGAGCTAATGCAAGAAAGCTATTTTCGTGTCAGGATGGCCGAGTGGTCTAAGGCGCTGCGTTCAGGTCGCAGTCCACTTCTTGGGCGTGGGTTCGAATCCCACTTCTGACAATGTAAATTTTTTTCAGTCATTTTTTGAGTGGGCGTTTCCCACTTCTGAAAAAACATTGTTTACTTAAATGCAAGGGAAAGCTCTTTTGCGTGTCAGGATGGCCGAGTCGGTCTAAGGCGCTGCGTTCAGAGGTCGCATTCCACTTCTGTGGGCGTGGGTTCGAATCCCACTTCTGACAATAAAATTTTATTCAGTCATTTTTTTAGGTTCTCAAAAAACTAAATGTAAGGAAACGCTCTTTCACATGTCAGGATGGCCGTCGGTCTAAGGCGCTGCGTTTTGATCATATTCCACTTCTGTGGGCGTGGGTTCGAATCCCACTTCTGACAATAAAATTTTATTCAGTCATTTTTTTTAGTTCTCATAACTTAAATGCAAGGAAACTATTTGCGTGTCAGGATGGCCGAGCGGTTTAAAAGGCGCTTAATCAGGTCGCAGTACACTTGCGTGTTCGGGGGTCCAACTCCCACGTCGAGCAATTATATTTTTGAGTTATTTTTTAGTTCTCATAAAGTAAATTAAAGGTTACGTTTTCTCAAATTTCGGAATGGCCAAGCGGTCAAAGGCGCTGCGTTCATGTCGAAGTCCACTAGGTTTTGGCGTGGGTTCGAATCCCACTTCTGAAAATGTATTTGTATTCAGTCATTATTTTTTAGTTCTCATAAACTAAATGTAAGGGAAAGATCTTTCACAGGTTAAGATTCCTGAGCGGTCTAAAGCGCTGCGTTTAAGTCGCAGTAAAATTCTGCAGGCGTGGTTTCGGATTCCACGTTTGACAATTATATTTCATTCATTCATTTTTTAAGTTCTCATTAATTAAATGAAAGGAAACACTCTCCCACGTGTCAGGATGGCCGAGCGGTCTAAGGCGCTGCGTTCAGGTCGCAGTCCACTTGTGTGGGCGTGGGTTCGAATCCCACTTCTGACAATGTATTTCTATTCAGTCATTTTTTGAGGTTAAAGAACTAAATGCAAGGGAAAGCTATTTTGCGTGTCAGGAGGGACGAGCGGTTTAAGGCGCTGCAATCAGGTCGTAGTCCACTTCCGTGTTCATGGGTTCGAATCCCACTTCTGACAATGTATTTCTTTCAGTCATTTTTTGAGTTTAAAAGTTAAATGCAAGGGAAAGCTATTTTCGTGTCAGGATGGCCGAGCGGTCTAAGGCGCTGCGTTCAGGTCAGTCCACTTCTGTGGGCGTGGGTTCGAATCCCAAATTTTATTCAGTCATATTTTTTTAGGTTAAAAACTAAATGCAAGGAAAGCTATTTTCGTGTCAGGATGGCCGAGCGGTCTAAGGCGCTGCTTTCAGGTCGCAGTCCACTTCTTTGGGCGTGGGTTCGAATCCCACTTCTGACAATGTATTTCTATTCAGTCATTTTTTAGTTTAAAAAACTAAATGCAAGGGAAAGCTATTTTGCGTGTTTAAGTGGATGGCCAAGTGTCAATGTATTTAAAGGCAAGGGAAAGTTTTGGCGTGGGACGAGCGGTTTAAAGCGCTGCAAAACTTCCGTGTTCATGGGTTCGAATCCCACTTTGACAATGTATTTCTTTCAGTCATTTTTGAGTTTCTATATGCGGCGTGAAAAGCACAGGTTCAGGATGGCCGAGCGGTAAGGCGCTGCGTTCAGGCTTTTGGGCGTGGTTAATTCCACGTTTGACAAATGTATTTCATTCAGTCATTTTGAGGAGTTAAATGAAAGACACTAAACACTGCAAGGGAAAGCTATTTTGCGTGTCAGGATGGCCGAGCGGTTTAAGGCGCTGCAATCAGCTCGCAGTCCACTTGCGTGGGCGTTGGTTCGAATCCCACTTCTGACAATGTATTTCTTTCAGTCATTTTTTGAGGTTAAAAACCTTTATGCAAGGGAAAGCTATTTTGCGTGTCAGGATGGCCGAGTGGTCTAAGGCGCTGCGTTCAGGTCGCAGTCCACTTCTGTGGGCGTGGGTTCGAATCCCACTTCTGACAATAAAATTTTATTCACATACTTTTCTTAGGTTCCAAAAACTGAATGTAAGGGAAAAAACTCTTTCACATGTCAGGATGGCCGATCTTCGGTCTAAGGCGCTGCGTTTTGATCATATTCCACTTCTGTGGGCGTGGGTTCGAATCCCACTTCTGACAATAAAATTTTATTCAGTTTTTTTTTAGTTCTCATAACTTAAATGTAAGGAAACGCTCTCGCACGTGTCAGGATGGCCGAGCGGTCTAAGGCGCTACAATCAGGTCGCAGTACACTTGCGTGTTCGGGGGTCCAACTCCCACGTCGAGCAATTATATTTAGTTGAGTTATTTTTTTAGTTCTCATAAAGTAAATTAAAGGAAACGTTTTCTCAAATTTCAGAATGGCCAAGCGGTCAAAGGCGCTGCGTTCATGTCGAAGTCCACTCGGTTTTGGCGTGGGTTCGAATCCCACTTCTGATAATGTAATTTTATTCAGTCATTTTTTTATTTCTCATAAACTAAATGTAAGGGAAAGATCTTTCACAGGTTAAGATTCCTGAGCGGTCTAAAGCGCTGCGTTTAAGTCGCAGTAAAATTCTGCAGTCGTGGTTTCGGATTCCACGTTTGACAATTATATTTCATTTATTCATTTTTTTAAGTTCTCATTAATTAAATGAAAGGTAACACTCTCCCACGTTTCAGGATGGCCGAGCGGTCTAAGGCGCTGCGTTCAGGTCGCAGTCCACTTCTGTGGGCGTGGGTTCGAATCCCACTTCTGACAATGTATTTTCTATTCAGTCATTTTTGAGGTTAAAGAACTAAATGCAAGGGAAAGCTGTTTTGCGTGTCAGGAGGGACGAGCGGTGTAAAGCGCTGCAATCAGGTCATAGACCACTTGCGTGTTCGTGGGTTGAATCCCACTTCGACAATGTATTTCTTTCAGTCATTTTTTGAGTTTAAAAAAGTTACATGCAAGGAAAAGCTATTCTGTGTGTCAGGATGGCCGAGCGGTCTAAGGCGCTGCGTTCAGGTCGCAGTCCACTTGGTGGGCGTGGGTTCGAATCCCACTTCTGACAATAAAAATTTATTCAGTCATTTTTTTAGTTCTCAAAACTAAATGTAAGGAAAACTCTTTCACATGTCAGGATTCCGAGCGGTCTAAGGCGCTGCGTTTTGTAAATATTCACTTGCTGTGGGCGTGGGTTGAATCCACTTTGACAATTATTTCTATTCAGTCATTTTTTAAGTTCTCATTAATTAAATGAAAGGGAAACGTTTTTTGCGTGTCAGGATGGCCGAGTGGTTTAAAGCGCTGCGTTCAGGGTCATAGTCCACTTGCGTGTTCGTGGGTTCGAATCCCACTTCTGACAATGTATTTTTTCAGTCATTTTTTGAGTTTAAAAACTAAATGCAAGGAAAGCTTTTTTGCGTGTCAGGATGGCCGAGCGGTCTAAGGCGCTGCGTTCAGGTCGCAGTCCACTTCTGTGGGCGTGGGTTCGAACCCACTTCTGACAATAAAATTTTATTCACATACTTTTCTTAGGTTCCAAAAACTAAATGTAAGGGAAAACTCTTTCACATGTCAGGATGGCCGATCGGTCTAAGGCGCTGCGTTTTGATCATATTCCACTTCTGTGGGCGTGGGTTCGAATCCCACTTCTGACAATAAAATTTTATTCAGTCATTTTTTTAGTTCTCATAACTTAAATGTAAGGAAACGCTCTCGCACGTGTCAGGATGGCCGAGCGGTCTAAGGCGCTTTAATCAGGTCGCAGTACACTTGCGTGTTCGGGGGTCCAACTCCCACGTCGAGCAATTATATTTAGTTGAGTTATTTTTTTAGTTCTCATAAAGTAAATTAAAGGAAACGTTTTCTCAAATTTCAGAATGGCCAAGCGGTCAAAGGCGCTGCGTTCATGTCGAAGTCCACTCGGTTTTGGCGTGGGTTCGAATCCCACTTCTGATAATGTAATTTTATTCAGTCATTATTTTTTTAGTTCTCATAAACTAAATGTAAGGGAAAGATCTTTCACAGGTTAAGATTCCTGAGCGGTCTAAAGCGCTGCGTTTAAGTCGCAGTAAAATTCTGCAGGCGTGGTTTCGGATTCCACGTTTGACAATTATATTTCATTCATTCATTTTTTTAAGTTCTCATTAATTAAATGAAAGGAAACACTCTCCCACGTGTCAGGATGGCCGAGCGGTCTAAGGCGCTGCGTTCAGGTCGCAGTCCACTTGTGTGGGCGTGGGTTCGAATCCCACTTCTGACAATGTATTTCTATTCAGTCATTTTTGAGGTTAAAGAACTAAATGCAAGGGAAAGCTATTTTGCGTGTCAGGAGGGACGAGCGGTTTAAGGCGCTGCAATCAGGTCGTAGTCCACTTCTGTGGGCGTGGGTTCGAATCCCACTTCTGACAATGTATTTCTTTCAGTCATTTTTGACAATGCAAGGGAAAGCTATTTTGCGTGTCAGGATGGCCGAGTGGTCTAAGGCGCTGCGTTCAGGTCGCAGTCCACTTCTGTGGGCGTGGGTTCGAATCCCACTTCTGACAATGTATTTTATTCAGTCATTTTTTGAGGTTAAAGAACTAAATGCAAGGGAAAGCTATTTTGCGTGTCAGGATGGCCGAGTCGGTCTAAGGCGCTGCGTTAAGATCGCAGTCCACTTGTGTGGGCGTGGGTTCGAATCCCACTTCTGACAATAAAATTTTATTCAGTCATTTTTTTAGTTCTCATAACTTAAATGTAAGGAAACGCTCTAGCACGTGTCAGGATGGCCGAGCGGTCTATAAGGCGCTGCAATCAGGTCGCAGTACACTTGCGTGTTCGGGTGTCCAACTCCCACGTCGAGCAATTATATTTAGTTGAGTTTTTTTTTTAGTTCTCATAAAGTAAATTAAAGGAAACGTTTTCTCAAATTTACGATGGCCAAGCGGTCAAAGGCGCTGCGTTCTTGTCGAAGTCCACTCGGTTTTGGCGTGGGTTCGAATTCCACTTCTGATAATGTAATTTTATTCAGTCATTATTTTTTTAGTTCTCATAAACTAAATGTAAAGGAAAGATCTTTCACAGGTCTTAAGATTCCTGAGCGGTCTAAAGCGCTGCGTTTAAGTCGCAGTAAAATTCTGCAGGCGTGGTTTCGGATTCCACGTTTGACAATTATATTTCATTCATTCATTTTTTAAGTTCTCATTAATTAAATGAAAGGAAACACTCTCCCACGTGTCAGGATGGCCGAGCGGTCTAAGGCGCTGCGTTCAGGTCGCAGTCCACTTGTGTGGGCGTGGGTTCGAATCCCACTTCTGACAATGTATTTCTATTCAGTCATTTTTTGAGGTTAAAGAACTAAATGCAAGGGAAAGCTATTTTGCGTGTCAGGAGGGACGAGCGGTTTAAGGCGCTGCAATCAGGTCGTAGTCCACTTCCGTGTTCGTGGGTTGAATCCCACTTCTGACAATGTATTTCTTTCAGTCATTTTTTGAGTTTAAAAAACTACATGCAAGGAAAAGCTATTTTGCGTGTCAGGATGGCCGAGCGGTTTAAGGCGCTGCGTTCAGGTCCTAGTCCACTTTTGGCGTGGGTTCGAATCCCACTTCTGACAATGTATTTTTTCAGTCATTTTTTTAGGTTCAAAACTAAATGCAAGGGAAAGCTATTTTGCGTGTCAGGATGGCCGAGCGGTCTAAAGGCGCTGCGTTCAGGTCGCAGTCCAAAATGTCCGCAGGCGTGGGCGAATCCCACTTTGACAATGTATTTCTTTCAGTCATTTTTTGAGGTTAAAAACCTTTATGCAAGGGAAAGCTATTTTGCGTGTTAGGATGGCCACTTCTGACAGTCCATTGGGCGTGGGTTTGAATCCCACTTCTGACAATGTATTTCTATTCAGTCATTTTTTGAGGTTAAAGAACTAAATGCAAGGGAAAGCTTTTTTTTTTTTTTTCGTGTCAGGAGGGACGAGCGGTTTCAATCAGGTAGTAGTCCACTTCCGTGTTCATGGGTTCGAAACTTCTGACAATTATTTTTTCAGTCATTTTTTGAGGTTAAAAACTACATGCAAGGGAAAGCTATTTTGCGTGTCAGGATGGCCGAGCGGTCTAAGGCGCTGCGTTCAGATCGCAGTCCACTTGTGTGGGCGTGGGTTCGAATCCCACTTCTGACAATGTATTTCTTTCAGTCATTTTTTGAGGTTAAAGAACTAAATGCAAGGGAAAGCTATTTTGCGTCTCAGGTCGGACGAGCGGTTTAAGGCGCTGCAATCAGGTCGTAGTCCACTTGCGTGGGCGTGGGTTCGAATCCCACTTCTGACAATGTATTTCTTTCAGTCATTTTTGAGGTTAAAAACTTATGCAAGGGAAAGCTATTTTGCGTGTCAGGATGGCCGAGTGGTCTAAGGCGCTGCGTTCAGGTCGCAGTCCACTTCTGTGGGCGTGGGTTCGAATCCCACTTCTGACAATAAAATTTTATTCACATACTTTTCTTAGGTTCCAAAACTGAATGTAAGGAAAAAAAAAAACTCTTTCACATGTCAGGATGGCCGATCGGTCTAAGGCGCTGCGTTTTGATCATATTCCACTTCTGTGGGCGTGGGTTAAAATCCCACTTCTAACAATAAAATTTTATTCAGTCATTTTTTTAGTTCTCATAACTTAAATGTAAGGAAAAGCTCTCGCACGTGTCAGGATGGCCGAGTGGTCTAAGGCGCTTTAATCAGGTCGCAGTACACTTGCGTGTTGGGGTCCAACTCCCACGTCGAGCAATTAGATTTAGTTGAGCTATTTCTTTTAGTTCTCATAAAGTAAATTAAAGGAAACGTTTTCTCAAATTTCAAAATGGCCAAGCGGTCAAAGGCGCTGCGTTCATGTCGAAGTCCACTCGGTTTTGGCGTGGGTTCGAATCCCACTTCTGATAATGTAATTTTATTCAGTCATTATTTTTTTAGTTTTCATAAACTAAATGTAAGGGAAAGATCTTTCACAGGTTAAGATTCCTGAGCGGTCTAAAGCGCTGCGTTTAAGTCGCAGTAAAATTCTGCAGGCGTGGTTTCGGATTCCACGTTTGACAATTATATTTCATTTATTCATTTTTTAAGTTCTCATTAATTAAATGAAAGGAAAACACTCTCCACGTGTCAGGATGGCCGAGCGGTCTAAGGCGCTGCGTTCAGGTCGCAGTCCACTTGTGTGGGCGTGGGTTCGAATCCCACTTCTGACAATGTATTTCTATTCAGTCATTTTTTGAGGTTAAAGAACTAAATGCAAGGGAAAGCTATTTTGCGTGTCAGGAGGGACGAGCGGTTTAAAGCGCTGCAATCAGGTCATAGTCCACTTGCGTGTTTTGCGTGTATTTCTTTCAGTCATTTTTTGAGTTTGTTATATGCAAGGGAAAGCTATTCTCCGTGTCAGCATGGCCGAGCGGTCTAAGGCGCTGCGTTCAGGTCGCAGTCCATCGGTTCTGTGGGCGTGGGTTCGAATCCCACTTCTGACAATAAAATTTTATTCACATACTTTTTTAGGTTCCAAAAACTGAATGTAAGGGAAAACTCTTTCACATGTCAGGATGGCCGATCGGTCTAAGGCGCTGCGTTTTGATCATATTCCACTTCTGTGGGCGTGGGTTCGAATCCCACTTCTGACAATGTATTTCTATTCAGTCATTTTTTGAGGTTAAAGAACTAAATGCAAGGGAAAGCTATTTTGCGTGTCAGGATGGCCGAGCGGTTTAAAGCGCTGCAATCAGGTCATAGACCACTTGCGTGTTCGTGGGTTCGAATCCCACTTCGGACAATGTATATTTTCAGTCATTTTTTGAGTTTAAAAAAGTTATATGCAAGGGAAAGCTTTTTTGCGTGTCAGGATGGCCGAGCGGTCTAATGCGTCGTTCAGGTCGCAGTCCACTTCTGTGGGCGTGGGTTCGAATCCCACTTCTGACAATAAAATTTTATTCACATACTTTTCTTAGGTTCCAAAAACTAAATGTAAGGGAAAACTCTTTCACATGTCAGGATGGCCGATCGGTCTAAGGCGCTGTGTTTTGATCATATTCCACTTCTGTGGGCGTGGGTTCGAATCCCACTTCTGACAGTAACATTTTATTCAGTCATTTTTTTTTAGTTCTCATAACTTAAATCTAAGGAAACGCTCTCGCACGTGTCAGGATGGCCGAGCGGTCTAAGGCGCTTTAATCAGGTCGCAGTACACTTGCGTGTTCGGGGGTCCAACTCCCACGTCGAGCAATTATATTTAGTTGAGTTATTTTTTTAGTTCTCATAAAGTAAATTAAAGGAAACGTTTTCTCAAATTTCAGAATGGCCAAGCGATCAAAGGCGGTGCGTTCATGTCGAAGTCCACTCGGTTTTGGCGTGGGTTCGAATCCCACTTCTGATAATGTAATTTTATTCAGTCATTATTTTTTAGTTCTCATAAACTAAATGTAAGGGAAAGATGTTTCACAGGTTAAAATTCCTGAGCGGTCTAAAGATCTGCGTTTAAGTCGCAGTAAAATTCTGCAGGCGTGGTTTTGGATTCCACGTTTGACAATTATATTTCATTCATTCACTTTTTTAAGTTATCATTAATTAAATGAAAGGAAACACTCTCCCACGTGTCAGGATGGCCGAGCGGTCTAAGGCGCTGCGTTCAGGTCGCAGTCCACTTGTGTGGGCGTGGGTTCGAATCCCACTTCTGACAATGTATTTCTTTCAGTCATTTTTTGAGGTTAAAAACTTTATGCAAGGGAAAGCTATTTTTGCGTGTTAGGATGGCCGAGTGGTCTAAGGCGCTGCGTTCAGATCGCAGTCCACTTCTGTGGGCGTGGGTTCGAATCCCACTTCTGACAATGTATTTCTTTCAGTCAAATTTGAGGTTAAAGAACTAAATGCAAGGGAAAGCTATTTTGCGTGTCAGGATGGACGAGCGGTTTAAGGCGCTGCAATCAGGTCGTAGTCCACTTGCGTGGGCGTTATTTCGAATCCCACTTCTGACAATGTATTTCTTTCAGTCATTGTTTGAGGTTAAAAAACTTTATGCAAGGGAAAGCTATTTTGCGTGTCAGGATGGCCGAGTGGTCTAAGGCGCTGCGTTCAGGTCGCAGTCCACTTCTGTGGCGTGGGTTCGAATCCCACTTCTGACAATGTAATTTTATTAAGTCATTTTTTAGGTTAAAAAACTAAATGCAAGGGAAAGCTATTTTCACGTGTCAGGATGGACGATCGGTCTAAGGCGCTGCGTTAAGATCGCAGTCCACTTCTGTGGGCGTGGGTTCGAATCCCACTTCTGACAATAAAATTTTATTCAGTCATTTTTTTAGTTCTCATAACTTAAATGTAAGGAAACGCTCTCGCACGTGTCAGGATGGCCGAGCGGTCTATAAAAGGCGCTGCAATCAGGTCGCAGTACACTTGCGTGTTCGGGGTCCAACTCCCACGTCGAGCAATTATATTTAGTTATATTTTTTTAGTTCTCATAAAGTAAATTAAAGGAAACATTTTCTCAAATTTACGAATGGCCAAGCGGTCAAAGGCGCTGCGTTCATGTCGAAGTCCTCTCGGTTTTGGCGTGGGTTCGAATCCCACTTCTGATAATGTAAATTTATTCAGTCATTATTTTTTTAGTTCTCATAAACTAAATGTAAGGGAAAGATCTTTCACAGGTTAAGATTCCTGAGCGGTCTAAAGCGCTGCGTTTAAGTCGCAGTAAAATTCTGCAGGCGTGGTTTCGGATTCCACGTTTGACAATTATATTTCATTCATTCATTTTTTTAAGTTGTCATTAATTAAATGAAAGGAAACACTCTCCCACGTGTCAGGATGGCCGAGCGGTCTAAGGCGCTGCGTTCAGGTCGCAGTCCACTTGTGTGGGCGTGGGTTCGAATCCCACTTCTGACAATGTATTTCTATTCAGTCATTTTTTGAGGTTAAAGAACTAAATGCAAGGGAAAGCTGTTTTGCGTGTCAGGAGGGACGAGCGGTTTAAGGCGCTGCAATCAGGTCGTAGTCCACTTCCGTGTTCGTGGGTTCGAATCCCACTTCTGACAATGTATTTCTTTCAGTCATTTTTTGAGGTTAAAAACTACAAGCAAGGGAAAGCTATTTTGCGTGTCAGGATGGCCGAGCGGTTTAAGGCGCTGCAATCAGGTCCTAGTCCACATGCGTGGGCGTGGGTTCGAATCCCACTTCTGACAATGTATTTCTTTCAGTCATTTTTTTAGGTTAAAAACTACATGCAAGGGAAAGCTATTTTGCGTGTCAGGATGGCCGAGCGGTCTAAGGCGCTGCGTTCAGGTCGCAGTCCACTTGTGTGGGCGTGGGTTCGAATCCCACTTCTGACAATGTATTTTTTCAGTCATTTTTTGAGGTTAAAAAACTTTATGCAAGGGAAAGCTATTTTGCGTGTTAGGATGGCCGAGTGGTCTAAGGCGTTGCGTTCAGGTCACAGTCCACTTGTGTGGGCGTGGGTTTGAATCCCACTTCTGACAATGTATTTCTATTCAGTCATTTTTTGAGGTTAAAGAACTAAATGCAAGGGAAAGCTTTTTGCGTGTCAGGAGGGACGAGCGGTTTAAGGCGCTGCAATCAGGTAGTAGTCCACTTCCGTGTTCATGGGTTCGAATCCCACTTCTGACAATGTATTTCTTTCAGTCATTTTTTGAGGTTAAAAACTACATGCAAGGGAAAGCTATTTTGCTTGTCAGGATGGCCGAGCGGTCTAAGGCGCTGCGTTCAGATCGCAGTCCACTTGTGTGGGCGTGGGTTCGAATTCCACTTCTGACAATGTATTTCTTTCAGTCATTTTTGAGGATAAAGAACTAAATGCAAGGGAAAGCTATTTTGCGTGTCAGGTCGGACGAGCGGTTTAAGGCGCTGCAATCAGCTCGTAGTCCACTTGCGTGGGCGTTCGAATCCCACTTCTGACAATGTATTTCTTTCAGTCATTGTTTGAGGTTAAAAAACTTTATGCAAGGGAAAGCTATTTTGCGTGTCAGGATGGCCGAGTGGTCTAAGGCGCTGCGTTCAGGTCGCAGTCCACTTCTGTGGGCGTGGGTTCGAATCCCACTTCTGACAATAAAATTTTATTCACATACTTTTCTTAGGTTCCAAAAACTGAATGTAAGGGAAAAAACTCTTTCACATGTCAGGATGGCCGATCGGTCTAAGGCGCTGCGTTTTGATCATATTCCACTTCTGTGGGCGTGGGTTCGAATCCCACTTCTGACAATAAAATTTTATTCAGTCATTTTTTTTTAGTTCTCATAACTTAAATGTAAGGAAACGCTCTCGCACGTGTCAGGATGGCCGAGTGGTCTAAGGCGATTTAATCAGGTCGCAGTACAATTGCGTGTTCGGGGGTCCAACTCCCACGTCGAGCAATTATATTTAGTTGAGTTATTTTTTTTAGTTCTCATAAAGTAAATTAAAGGAAACGTTTTCTCAAATTTCAGAATAGCCAAGCGGTCAAAGGCGGTGCGTTCATGTCGAAGTCCACTCGGTTTTGGCGTGGGTTCGAATCCCACTTCTGATAATGTAATTTTATTCAGTCATTATTTTTTTATTTCTCATAAACTAAATGTAAGGGAAAGATCTTTCACAGGTTAAAATTCCTGAGCGGTCTAAAGCGCTGCGTTTAAGTCGCAGTAAAATTCTGCAGGCGTGGTTTCGGATTCCACGTTTGACAATTATATTTCATTTATTCATTTTTTTAAGTTCTCATTAATTAAATGAAAGGAAACTCAGGAGGGCCGAGCGGTCTAAGGCGCTGCGTTCAGGTCGCAGTCCACTTGTGTGGGCGTGGGTTCGAATCCCACTTCTGACAATGTATTTCTATTCAGTCATTTTTTGAGGTTAAAGAACTAAATGCAAGGGAAAGCTATTTTGCGTGTCAGGAGGGACGAGCGGTTTAAAGCGCTGCAATCAGGTCATAGTCCACTTGCGTGTTCGTGGGTTCGAATCCCACTTCGGACAATGTATTTCTTTCAGTCATTTTTTGAGTTTAAAAAAGTTATATGCAAGGGAAAGCTATTCTGTGTGTCAGGATGGCCGAGCGGTCTAAGGCGCTGCGTTCAGGTCGCAGTCCACTTCTGTGGGCGTGGGTTCGAATCCCACTTCAGACAATAAAATTTTATTCAGTCATTATTTTTTTAGGTTAAAAACTAAATGTTAGGGGAAAACTCTTTCACATGTCAGGATGGCCGATCGGTCTAAGGCGCTGCGTTTTGATCATATTCCACTTCTGTGGGCGTGGGTTCGAATCCCACTTCTGACAATGTATTTCTATTCAGTCATTTTTTGAGGTTAAAGAACTAAATGCAAGGGAAAGCTATTTTGCGTGTCAGAAGGGACGAGCGGTTTAAAGCGCTGCAAGCAGGTCATAGACCACTTGCGTGTTCGTGGGTTCGAATCCCACTTGACAATGTATTATTTTCAGTCATTTTTTGAGTTTAAAAAAGTTATATGCAAGGGAAAGCTTTTTTGCGTGTCAGGATGGCCGAGTGGTCTAAGGCGCTGCGTTCAGGTCGCAGTCCAATTCTGTGGGCGTGGGTTCGAATCCCACTTCTGACAATAAAATTTTATTCACATACTTTTCTTAGGTTCCAAAAACTAAATGTAAGGGAAAACTCTTTCACATGTCAGGATGGCCGATCGGTCTAAGGCGCTGCGTTTTGATCATATTCCACTTCTGTGGGCGTGGGTTCGAATCCCACTTCTGACAGTAACAATTTTATTCAGTCATTTTTTTTTAGTTCTCATAACTTAAATCTAAGGAAACGCTCTCGCACGTGTCAGGATGGCCGAGCGGTCTAAGGCGCTTTAATCAGGTCGCAGTACACTTGCGTGTTCGGGGGTCCAACTCCCACGTCGAGCAATTATATTTAGTTGAGTTATTTTTTTTAGTTCTCATAAAGTAAATTAAAGGAAACGTTTTCTCAAATTTCAGAATGGCCAAGCGGTCAAAGGCGGTGCGTTCATGTCGAAGTCCAAACGGTTTTGGCGTGGGTTCGAATCCCACTTCTGATAATGTAATTTTATTCAGTCATTATTTTTTTATTTCTCATAAACTAAATGTAAGGGAAAGATCTTTCACAGGTTAAAATTCCTGAGCAGTCTAAAGCGCTGCGTTTAAGTCGCAGTAAAATTCTGCAGGCGTGGTTTCGGATTCCACGTTTGACAATTATATTTCATTTATTCATTTTTTTAAGTTCTCATTAATTAAATGAAAGGAAACTCAGGAGGGCCGAGCGGTCTAAGGCGCTGCGTTCAGGTCGCAGTCCACTTGTGTGGGCGTGGGTTCGAATCCCACTTCTGACAATGTATTTCTATTCAGTCATTTTTTGAGGTTAAAGAACTAAATGCAAGGGAAAGCTATTTTGCGTGTCAGGAGGGACGAGCGGTTTAAAGCGCTGCAATCAGGTCATAGACCACTTGCGTGTTCGTGGGTTCGAATCCCACTTCGGACAAAGTATTTTTTCAGTCATTTTTGAGTTTAAAAAGTTATATGCAAGGGAAAGCTTTTTTCCGTGTCAGGAGGGCCGAGCGGTCTAAGGCGCTTCGTTCAGATCGCAGTCCAATTCTGTGGGCGTGGGTTCGAATCCCACTTCGGACAATAAAATTTTATTCACATACTTTTCTTAGGTTCCAAAAACTAAATGTAAGGGAAAACTCTTTCACATGTCAGGATGGCCGATCGGTCTAAGGCGCTGTGTTTTGATCATATTCCACTTCTGTGGGCGTGGGTTCGAATCCCACTTCTGACAGTAACATTTTATTCAGTCATTTTTTTTAGTTCTCATAACTTAAATCTAAGGAAACGCTCTCGCACGTGTCAGGATGGCCGAGTGGTCTAAGGCGCTTTAATCAGGTCGCAGTACACTTGCGTGTTCGGGGGTCCAACTCCCACGTCGAGCAATTATATTTAGTTGAGTTATTTTTTTTAGTTCTCATAAAGTAAATTAAAGGAAACGTTTTCTCAAATTTCAGAATGGCCAAGCGGTCAAAGGCGGTGCGTTCATGTCGAAGTCCAAACGGTTTTGGCGTGGGTTCGAATCCCACTTCTGATAATGTAATTTTATTCAGTCATTATTTTTTTATTTCTCATAAACTAAATGTAAGGGAAAGATCTTTCACAGGTTAAAATTCCTGAGCAGTCTAAAGCGCTGCGTTTAAGTCGCAGTAAAATTCTGCAGGCGTGGTTTCGGATTCCACGTTTGACAATTATATTTCATTTATTCATTTTTTTAAGTTCTCATTAATTAAATGAAAAGAAACACACTCCCACGTGTCAGGAGGGCCCAGCGGTCTAAAACGTTGCGTTTAGATCGCATTCCACTTCTGTTTGCGTGGGTTCGAATCCCGCTCCTGACAATGTATTTCTATTCAGTCATTTTTTGAGGTTAAAGAACTAAATGCAAGGGAAAGCTATTTTGCGTCTCAGGTCGGACGAGCGGTTTAAGGCGCTGCAATCAGGTCGTAGTCCACTTGCGTGGGCGTTATTTCGAATCCCACTTCTGACAATGTATTTCATTCAGTCATTGTTTGAGGTTAAAAAACTTTATGCAAGGGAAAGCTATTTTGCGTGTCAGGATGGCCGAGTGGTCTAAGGCGCTGCGTTCAGGTCGCAGTCCACTTCTGTGGGCGTGGGTTCGAATCCCACTTCTGACAATAAAATTTTATTCACATACTTTTCTTAGGTTCCAAAAACTAAATGTTAGGGAAAACTCTTTCACTTGTCAGGATGGCCGATCGGTCTAAGGCGCTGCGTTTTGATCATATTCCACTTCTGTGGGCGTGGGTTGAATCCCACTTCTGACAATGTATTTCTATTCAGTCATTTTTTGAGGTTAAAGAACTAAATGCAAGGGAAAGCTATTTTGCGTGTCAGAGGGACGAGTGGTTTAAAGCGCTGCGATCAGGTCATAGACCACTTGCGTGTTCGTGGGTTCGAATCCCACTTCAGACAATGTATTTCTTTCAGTCATTTTTTGAGTTAAAAAAAAGTTATATGCAAGGGAAAGCTATTCTGTGTGTCAGGATGGCCGAGTGGTCTAAGGCGCTTCGTTAAGATCGCAGTCCAATTCTGTGGGCGTGGGTTCGAATCCCACTTCGGACAATAAAATTTTATTCACATACTTTTCTTAGGTTCCAAAAACTAAATGTAAGGGAAAACTCTTTCACATGTCAGGATGGCCGAGCGGTCTAAGGCGCTGCGTTTTGATCATATTCCACTTCTGTGGGCGTGGGTTCGAATCCCACTTCTGACAGTAACATTTTATTCAGTCATTTTTTTTTAGTTCTCATAACTTAAATGTAAGGAAACGCTCTCGCACGTGTCAGGATGGCCGAGTGGTCTAAGGCGCTTTAATCAGGTCGCAGTACACTTGCGTGTTCGGGGGTCCAACTCCCACGTCGAGCAATTATATTTAGTTGAGTTATTTTTTTTAGTTCTCATAAAGTAAATTAAAGGAAACGTTTTCTCAAATTTCAGAATGGCCAAGCGGTCAAAGGCGGTGCGTTCATGTCGAAGTCCAAACGGTTTTGGCGTGGGTTCGAATCCCACTTCTGATAATGTAATTTTATTCAGTCATTATTTTTTTATTTCTCATAAACTAAATGTAAGGGAAAGATCTTTCACAGGTTAAAATTCCTGAGCAGTCTAAAGCGCTGCGTTTAAGTCGCAGTAAAATTCTGCAGGCGTGGTTTCGGATTCCACGTTTGACAATTATATTTCATTTATTCATTTTTTTAAGTTCTCATTAATTAAATGAAAAGAAACACACTCCCACGTGTCAGGAGGGCCCAGCGGTCTAAAACGTTGCGTTTAGATCGCATTCCACTTCTGTTTGCGTGGGTTCGAATCCCGCTCCTGACAATGTATTTCTATTCAGTCATTTTTTGAGGTTAAAGAACTAATTTCAAGGGAAAGCTATTTTGCGTGTCAGGATGGCGGAGCGGTTTAAGGCGCTGCAATCAGGTCCTAGTCCACTTGAGTGGGCGTGGGTTCGAATCCCACTTCTGACAATGTATTTCTTTCAGTCATTTTTTGAGGTTAAAAACTACATGCAAGGGAAAGCTATTTTGCGTGTCAGGATGGACGAGCGGTTTAAGGCGCTGCAATCAGGTCGTAGTCCACTTGCGTGGGTGTTGGTTCAAATCCCACTTCTGACAATGTATTTCTTTCAGTCATTTTTTGAGGTTAAAAAACTTTATGCAAGGGAAAGCTATCTTGCGTGTCAGGATGGCCGAGCGTTCTAAGGCGCTGCAATCAGGTCGCAGTCCACTTGCGTGTTCGTGGGTTCGAATCCCACTTCGGACGATGTATTTTTTCAGTCATTTTTTGAGTTTTAAGAAACTACATGCAAGGGAAAGCTATTCTGCGTGTCAGGATGGCCGATCGGTCTATAGCGATGCGTTTAGATCACATTCCACTTCTGTGGGCGTGGTTATGAATCCCATTTCTGACAATAAAATTTTATTCAGTCATTTTTTTTAGTTCTCATAACTTAAATGTAAGGAAACGATCTCAATGTCAGGATGGCCGAGCGGTCTATAAAAGGCGCTGCAATCAGGTCGCAGTACACTTGCGTGTTCGGGTGTCCAACTCCCACGTCGAGCAATTATATTTAGTCGAGTTATTTTTTTAGTTCTCATAAAGTAAATTAAAGGAAACGTTTTCTCCAATTTACGAATGGCCAAGCGGTCAAAGGCGCTGCGTTCATGTCGAAGTCCACTCGGTTTTGGCGTGGGTTCGAATCCCACTTCTGATAATGTAAATTTATTCAGTCATTATTTTTTTAGTTCTCATAAACTAAATGTAAGGGAAAGATCTTTCACAGGTTAAGATTACTTAGCGGTCTAAAGAGCTGCGTTTAAGTCGCAGTAAAATTCTTCAGGCGTGGTTTCGGATTCCACGTTTGACAATTATATTTCATTCATTCATTTTTTAAGTTCTCATTAATTACATGAAAGGAAACACTCTCCCACGTGTCAGGAGGGCCGAGCGGTCTAAGACGCTGCGTTCAGGTCTCAGTCCACTTGTGTGGGCGTGGGTTGAATCCCACTTCTGACAATGTATTTCTATTTAGTCATTTTTTGAGGTTAAAGAACTAAATGCAAGGGAAAGCTATTTTGCGTGTCAGGAGGGACGAGCGGTTTAAAGCGCTGCAATCAGGTCATAGACCACTTGCGTGTTCGTGGGTTCGAATCCCACTTCGGACAATGTATTTTTTCAGTCATTTTTGAGTTTAAAAAGTTATATGCAAGGGAAAGCTTTTTGCGTGTCAGGATGGCCGAGCGGTCTAAGGCGCTTCGTTCAGATCGCAGTCCTATTCTGTGGGCGTGGGTTCGAATCCCACTTCGGACAATAAAATTTTATTCACATACTTTTCTTAGGTTCCAAAAACTAAATGTAAGGGAAAACTCTTTCACATGTCAGGATGGCCGATCGGTCTAAGGCGCTGCGTTTTGATCATATTCCACTTCTGTGGGCGTGGGTTCGAATCCCACTTCTGACAGTAACATTTTATTCAGTCATTTTTTTTTAGTTCTCATAACTTAAATGTAAGGAAACGCTCTCGCACGTGTCAGGATGGCCGAGTGGTGTAAGGCGCTTTAATCAGGTCGCAGTACACTTGCGTGTTCGGGAGTCCAACTCCCAAGTCGAGCATTTATATTTAGTTGAGTTATTTTTTTTAGTTCTCATAAAGTAAATTAAAGGAAACCTTTTCTCAAATTTCAGAATGGCAAAGCGGTCAAAGGCGGTGCGTTCACGTCCAAGTCCACTCGGTTTTGGCGTGGGTTCGAATCCCACTTCTGATAATGTAATTTTATTCAGTCATTATTTTTTTAGTTCTCATAAACTAAATGTAAGGGAAAGATCTTTCACAGGTTAAAATTCCTGAGCGGTCTAAAGCGCTGCGTTTAAGTCGCAGTAAAATTCTGCAGGCGTGGTTTCGGATTCCACGTTTGACAATTATATTTCATTCATTCATTTTTTTAATTCTCATTAATTACATGAACGGAAACACTCTCCCACGTGTCAGGAGGGCCGAGCGGTCTAAGGCGCTGCGTTCAGGTCGCAGTCCACTTGTGTGGGCGTGGGTTCGAATCCCACTTCTGACAATGTATTTCTTTCGGTCATTTTTTTGAGGTTAAAAACTATATGCAAGAGAAAGCTATTTTGCGTGTCAGGATGGCCGAGTGGTCTAAGGCGCTGCGTTCAGGTCGCAGTCCACTTCCTGTGAGCGTCGGTTCGAATCCAACTTCTGACAATGTATTTCTACTCAGTCAATTTTTGAGGTTAAAAACTTTATGCAAGGGAAAGCTATTTTGCGTGTCAGGATGGTCGAGTGGTCTAAGGCACTGCGTTCAGGTCGCAGTCCACTTCTGTAGGCGTGGGTTCGAATCCCACTTCTGACAATAAAATTTTATTCACATACTTTTCTTAGGTTCCAAAAACTAAATGTAAGAGAAAACACTTTCACTTGTAAGGATGGCCGATCGGTCTTAGGCGCTGCGTTTTTATCACATTCCACTTCTGTGGGCGTGGGTTCGAATCCCACTTCTGACAATGTAATTTTATTCAGTCATTTTTTTTAGTTCTCATAACTTAAATGTAAGGAAACGCTCTCGCACGTGTCAGGATGGCCGAGCGGTCTAAGGCGCTGCGTTCAGGTCGCAGTCCACTTGTGTGGGCGTGGGTTTCGAATCCCACTTCTGACAATGTATTTCTATTCAGTCATTTTTTGAGGTTAAAGAACTAAATGCAAGGGAAAGCTATTTTGCGTGTCAGAGGACGAGCGGTTTAAGGCGCTGCAATCAGGTCGTAGTCCACTAGCGTGTTCGTGGGTTCGAATCCCACTTCGACAATGTATGTCTTTCAGTCATTTTTTGAGTTTTAAAAACTACATGCAAGGGAAATCTATTCTGCGTGTCAGAATGACCGAGCGGTCTAAGGTGCTGCTTTCAGGTCGCAGTCCACTTCTGTGGGCGTGGGTTCGAATCCCACTTCTGACAATAAAATTTTATTCAGTCATTTTTTTTTAGTTCTCATAACTTAAATGTAAGGAAAAGCTCGCACGTGTCAGGATCGCCGAGAGGTCTAAAAGGCGCAGCAATCAGGTCGCAGTCCACTTGCGTGTTCGGGGGTCCAAATCCCACGTCGAGCAATTATATTTAGTTGAGTTATTTTTTTTAGTTCTCATAAAGTAAATTAAAGGAAACGTTTTTCAAATTTCAGGATGGCCAAGCGGTCAATGGCGCTGCGTTCATGTCGCAGTCCACTTGTGTGGGCGGAGGTTTGAATCCCACTTCTGACAATGTATTTTATTCAGTCATTTTTTGAGGTTAAAGAACTAAATGCAAGGGAAAGCTATATTGCGTGGCAGGATGGCCGAGCGGTCTAAAGCGCTGCGTTCAGGTCGCAATCCACTTCTGTGGGCGTGGGTTCGAATCCCACTTCTGACAATAGACTTTTATTCAGTCATTTTTTTAGTTCTCATAACTTAAATGAAAGGAAATGCTCCCGCACGTGTCAGGATGGCCGATCGGTCTAAGGCGCTGCGTTCAGGTCGCAGTCCACTTGTTTGGGCGTGGGTTCGAATCCCACTTCTGACAATGTATTTATTTCAGTCATTTTTTGAGGTTAAAAACTTTATGCAAGGGAAAGCTGTTTTGCGTGTTAGGATGGTCGAGTGGTCTAAAGCGCTGCAATCAGGTCGTAGTCCACTTGCGTGGGCGTTATTTCGAATCCCACTTCTGACAATGTATTTCTTTCAGTCATTGTTTGAGGTTAAAAACTTTATGCAAGGGAAAGCTATTCTGCGTGTCAGGATGGCCGAGAGGTCTAAAGCGCTGCGTTCAGGGCGCAGTCCACTTCTGACAATAAAAGTTTTATTCATATACTTTTCTTAGGTTACAAAAACTAAATGTGAGGTAAAACTCTTTCACATGTCAGGATGGCCGATCGGTCTAAGGCGCTGCGTTTAGATCACATTCCACTTCTGTGAGCGTGGGTTCGAATCCCATTTCTGACAATAGAATTTTATTCAGTCATTTTTTTTAGTTCTCATAACTTAAATGTAAGGAAATGCTCGCACGTGTCAGGAAAGCCGAGCGGTCTAAAAAGGCGCTGTAATCAGGTCGCAGTACACTTGCGCGTTCGCGGGTCAAACTCCCACGTCGAGCAATTATATTTAGTTATTTTTTTAGTTCTCATAAAGTAAATTAAAGGAAACGTTTTTCAAATTTCAGAATGGCCAAGCGATCAAAGGCGGTGCGTTCATGTCGAAGTCCACTCGGTTTTGGCGTGGGTTCGAATCCCACTTCTGATAATATAATTTTATTCAGTCATTATTTTTTTAGTTCTCATAAACTAAATGTAAGGGAAAGATCTTTCACAGGTTTTCCTGAGCGGTCTAAAAAGCGCTGCGTTTAAGTCGCTAATTCTGCAGGCGTGGTTTCGGATTCCACGCTTGACAATTATATTTCATTCATTCATTTTTTAAGTTTTCATTAATTAAATGAAAGGAAACATCTCCCACGTGTCAGGATGGCCGAGCGGTCTAAGGCGCTGCGTTCAGGTCGCAGTCCACTTGTGTGGGCGTGGGTCGAATCCCACTTCTGACAATGTATTTTACCAGTCATTTTTTGAGGTTAAAAACTTTATGCAAGGGAAAGCTATTTTTATCAGGATGGTCGAGTGGTTAAGGCACTGCGTACAGTTCGCAGTCCACTTCTGTGGGCGTGGGTTCGAATCCCATGACAATAAAATTTTATTCACATACTTTCTTAGGTTCCAAAACTAAATGTAATGGAAAACACTTTCACTTTTAGGATTGCCGATCGGTCTTAGGCGCTGCGTTTTTATCACATTCCACTTTAGTGGGCGTGGGTTCGATTCCTCTTCTGATAATGTAATTTTATTCAGTCATTTTTTTAGTTCTCATAACTTTATTGTAAGGAAACGCTCGCACGTGTCAGGATGGCCGAGCGGTCTAAGGCGCTGCGTTCAGGTCGCAGTCCACTTGTGTGGGCATGGTTCGAATCCCACTTCTGACAATGTATTTCTATTCAGTCATTTTTTGAGGTTAAAGAACTAAATGCAAGTAAAGCTATTTTGCGTGTCAGGAGGGACGAGCGGTTTAAGGCGCTGCAATCAGGTCGTAGTCCACTAGCGTGTTCGTGGGTTCGAATCCCACTTCAGACAATGTATGTCTTTCAGTCATTTTTTGAGTTTTAAAAACTGCATGCAAGGGAAATCTATTCTTCGTGTCAGGATGACCGAGCGGTCTAAGGCGATGCTTTCAGGTCGCAGTCCACTTCTGTGGGCTTGGGTTCGAATCCCACTTCTGACAATAAAATTTTATTCACATACTTTTCTTAGGTTCAAAAAACTAAATTTAAGGGAAAAGTCTTTCACCTGTCAGGTAAGCCGATCGGTCTAAGGCGCTGCGTTTAGATCACATTCCACTTCTGTGGGCTCGAACTGACAATAAAATTTTATTCAGTCATTTTTTTTAGTTCTCATTACTTAAATGTAAGGAAACGCTCTCGCACGTGTAAGGATGGCAGAGCGGTCTAAGGCGCTGCAATCAGGTCGGAAACACTTGCGTGTTCGATGGCCCAACTCACAAGTCGAGCAATTATATTTAGTTAAGTTATTTTTTTTTGCTCTCATAAAATAAATTAAAGGAAACGTTTTCTCAAATTTCAGAATGGCCAAGCGGTCAAAGGCGGTGCGTTCATGTCGAAGTCCTTTCGGTTTTGGCGTGGGTTCGAATCCCATCTTCTGATAATGTAATTTTATTTCAGTCATTATTTTTTGGTTCTCATAAACTAAATGTTAGGGAAAAATCTTTCACAGGTTCACAGGTTAAGATTCCTGAGCGGTCTAAAGCGCTGCGTTTAAGTCGCAGTAATATTCTGCAGGCGTGGTTTTGGATTCCACGTTTGACAATTATATTTCATTCATTCATTTTTTAAGTTCTCATTAATTAAATGAAAGGAAACACTCTCCCACGTGTCAGGATGGCCGAGCGGTCTAAGGCGCTGCGTTCAGGTCGTAGTCCACTTGCGTGGGCGTGGGTTCGAATCCCACTTCTGACAATGTATTTCTATTCAGTCATTTTTTGAGTTTAAAGAACTAAATGTAAGGGAAAGCTATTCTTTCGTGTCAGGAGGGACGAGCGGTTTAAGGCGCTGCACTCAGGTCGTAGCTTGCGTGTTCGTGGGTTCGAATCCCATTTCGACAATGTATTTCAGTCATTTTTGAGTTTAAAAAACTACTGTGGAAAGCTGTGTGTCAGGATGGCCGAGCGGTCAAAGGCGCTGTGTTTAGATCACATTCCACTTCTGACAAAAAATTTTATTCACATACTTTTCTTAGGTTCCAAAAACTTAATGTAAGGGAAAACTCTTTCGCATGTCAGGATGGCCGATCGGTCTAAGGCGCTGCGTTTAGATCACATTCCACTTCTGTGGAAGTGGGTTCGAATCCCACTTCTGAAAATAAAAATTTTATTCAGTCATTTTTTTTAGTTCTCATAACTTAATTGTAAGGAAACGCTCTCGCACGTGTCAGGATGGCCGAGCGGTCTAAGGCACTGCAATCAGGTCGCAGTACACTTGTGTGGGCGTGGGTTCCAAATCCCACGTCTGACAATGTACTTCTATTCAGTCATTTTTTGAGGTTAAAGAACTAAATGCAAGGGAAAGGCGCTATTTTGCGTGTCAGGAGGGTGAGTGAGTGAAGATTAACGTCGCACTGTTCAGCTACACGAGGGCTTTTGGCGAGTCGGATTCTGCATGTAATTTTGAACCATGGTCAAGTGACGTACGCGTGTCAGGAGGGACGAGCGGTTTAAGGCGCTGCAATCAGGTCGTAGTCCACTAGCGTGTTCGTGGGTTCAAATCCCACTTCGACAATGTATTTTTTCAGTCATTTTTTGAGTTTTAATAAACTATATGCAAGGAAAGCTATTTTGCGTATCAGGATGGCCGAGTGGTCTAAGGCGCTGCGTTCAGGTCGCAGTCCACTTCTGTGAGCGTGGGTTCGAATCCCACTTCTGACAATGTATTTCTACTCAGTCATTTTTTGAGGTTAAAAAACTTTATGCAAGGGAAAGCTATTTTGCGTGTCAGGATGGTCAAGTGGTCTAAGGCACTGCGTTCAGGTCGCAGTCCACTTCTGTGGGCGTGGGTTCGCGCGCGAATCCCACTTCTGACAATAAAATTTTATTCACATACTTTTTTTAGGTTCCAAAACTAAATGTAAGGAAAACACTTTCACTTGTCAGGATGGCCGATCGGTCTTAGCCGCTGCGTTTTTATCACATTCCACTTCTGTGGGCGTGGGTTCGAATCCCACTTCTGACAATGTATTTTATTCAGTCATTTTTTTAGTTCTCATAACTTAATTGCAAGGGAAACGCTCTCGCACGTGTCAGGATGGCCGAGCGGTCTAAGGCACTGCGTTCAGGTCGCAGTCCACTTGTGTGGGCGTGGGTTCGAATCCCATTTCTGACAATGTACTTCTATTCAGTCATTTTTTGAGGTTAAAAACTAAATGCAAGGGAAAGCTATTTTGCGTGTCAGGGGTGAGTGAGTGAAGATTAACGTCGCACTGTTCAGCTACACGAGGGCTTTTGGCGACGGACCACGTAATTTTGACAAACTATTCAAGGTCAAGTGACGTACGCGTGTCAGGAGGGACGAGCGGTTTAAGGCGCTGCAATCAGGTCGTAGTCCACTAGCGTGTTCGTGGGTTCGAATCCCACTTCGGACAATGTATTTCTTTCAGTCATTTTTTGAGTTTAAAAACTATATGCAAGGAAAAGCTATTCTGCGTGTCAGGATGGCCGAGCGGTCTAAGGCGCTGCGTTCAGGTCGCAGTCCACTTCTGTGGGCGTGGGTTCGATTCCCACTTCTGACAATAAAATTTTATTCACAAACTTTTCTTAGGTTAAAAAACTAAATGTAAGGGAAAAGTCTTTCACATGTCAGGATGGCCGAACGGTCTAAGGCACTGCGTTTAGATCACATTCCACTTCTGACAATAAGAATTTTATTCAGTCATTTTTTTTAGTTCTCATAACTTAAATGTAAGAAACGCTCTCGCACTTGTCAGGATAGCCGAACAGTCTAAGGCGCTGCAATCAGGTCGCAGAAACATTTGCGTGTTCGTGGGTCCAACTCCCACGTCGAGCAATTATATTCAGTTGAGTTATTTTTTTTAGTTCTCATAAAGTAAATTAAAGGAAACGTTTTCTCAAATTTCAGAATGGCCAAGCGGTCAAAGGCGCTGCGTTCATGTCGAAGTCCTTTCGGTTTTGGCGTGGTTTCGAATCCCACTTCTGATAATGTAATTTTATTTAGTCATTATTTTTTTAGTTCTCATAAACTAAATGTAAGGGAAAAATTTTTCACAGGTTAAGATTCCTGAGCGGTCTAAAGCGCTGCGTTTAAGTTGCAGTAAAATTCTGCAGGCGTGGTTTCGGATTCCACGTTTTACAATTATATTTCATTCATTCATTTTTTTAAGTTCTCATTAATTAAATGAGAGGAAACCCTCTCCCACGTGTCAGGATGGCCGAGCGGTTTAAGGCGCTGCGTTCAGGTCGCAGTCCACGTGTGTGGTCGTGGGTTCGAATCCCACTTCTGATAATGTATTTCTATTCAGTCATTTTTTGAGGTTAAAGAACTAAATGCAAGGGAAAGCTATTTTGCGTGTCAGGAGGGACGAGCGGTTTAAGGTGCTGCAATCAGGTCGTAGTCCACTTCCGTGGGAGTTGGTTAGAATCCCATTTCTGACAATGTATTTCTTTCAGTCATTTTTGAGCTTAAAAAAACTTTATGCAAGGGAAAGCTATTTTGCGTGTCAGGATGGCCGAGCGGTCTAAGCCGCTGCGTTCAGGTCGCAGTCCATTTATGTGGGACTGGGTTCGAATCACACTTTTAACAATAAAATTTTATTCACATACTTTTCTTAGGTTACAAAAACTAAATGTAAGGGAAAACTCTTTCACATGTCAGGATGGCCGATCGGTCTAAGGCGCTGCGTTTAGCTCACATTCCACTTCTGTGGGCATGGTTTCGAATCCCACTTCTGACAATAGAATTTTATTCAGTCAATTTTTGAGGTTAAAAAGTAAATGCAAGGGAAAGCTATTTTGCGTGTCAGGATGTGCGAGCGGTTTAAGGTGCTGCAATCAGGTCCTTGTCCACTTGCGTGGGCGTGGGTTTGAATCCCACTTCTGACAATGTATTTCTTTCAGTAATTTTTTGAGTTTAAAAACTACATGCAAGGGAAAGCTATTTTTGCGTGTCAGGATGGCCGAGCAGTCTAAGGCGCTGCGTTTAGATCACATTCCACTTCTGTGGGCGTGGGTTCGAATCCCATTTCTGACAATAAAATTTTATTCAGTCATTTTTTTTTAGTTCTTATAACTTAATTGTAAGGAAACGCTCTAGCACGTGTCAAGATGGCCGAGCGGTCTAAGGCGCTGCAATCAGGTCGCAGTATACTTGCGTGTTCGGGGGGTCCAACTCCCACGTCGAGCAATTATATTTAGTTATTTTTTTTTAGTTCTCATAAAGTAAATTAAAGGAAACCTTTTTTTTTTTTTTTTTTTTTTTAAATTTCAGGATGACCAAGCGGTCAAAGGCGCTGCGTTGATGTCGAAGTCCACTCGGTTTTGAAGTGGATTTGTGAATCCCACTTCTAAAAATGTAATTTTATTCAGTCATTATTTTTTTAGTTCTCATAAACTAAATGTAAGGGAAAGATCTTTCACAGGTAAAGATTCCTCAGCGGTCTAAAGCACTGCGTTTAAGTCGCAGTAAAATTCTGCAGGCGTGGTTTCGGATTCCACGTTTGACAATTTTATTTCATTCATTCATTTTTTTAAGTTCTCATTATTAAAATGAAAGGAAACCCTCTTCCACGTGTCACGATGACCGAGCGATCTAAGGCGCTGCGTTCCGGTCGTAGTCCACTTGTGTGGGCGTGGGTTCGAATCCCACTTATGACAATGTATTTCTATTCAGTCATTTTTGAGGTTAAAGAACTAAATGCAAGGGAAAGCTAATCTGCGTGTCAGGAGGGACGAGCGGTTTAAGGCGCTGCAATCAGGTCGTAGTCCACTTGCGTGTTCGTGGGTTCGAATCCCACTTCGGACAATGTATTTCTTTCAGTCATTTTTTGATTTTAAAAAACTTTATGCAAGGGAAAGCTATTCTGTGTGTCAGGATGGCCGAGCGGTCTATGGCGCTGCGTACAGGTCGAAGTCCACTACTGTGGGCGTGGGTTCGAATCCCACTTCTGACAATAAAATTTTATTCACATACTTTTCATAGGTTCCAAAACTAAATGTAAGGGAAAACTCTTTTCACATGTCAGGATGGCCTAACGGTCTAAGGCGCTGCGTTTAGATCACATTCCACTTCTGTGGGCGTGGGTTCGAATCCCACTTCTGTCAATAGATTTTTATTCAGTCATTCTTTTTTAGTTCTCATAACTTAAATGTAAGGAAATGCTCTCGCACGTGTCAGGATGGCCGAGCGGTCTAAGGCGCTGCAATCAGGTCGCAGTACACTTGTGCGTTCGCGGGTCAAACTCCCACGTCGAGCAATTATATTTAGTTGAGTTATTTTTTAGTTCTCATAAAGTAAATTAAAGGTAACGTTTTCTCAAATTTCAGAATGGCCAAGCGGTCAAAGGCGGTGCGTTCATGTCGAAGTCCACTCGGTTTTGGCGTGGGTTCGGATCCCACTTCGGATAATGTAATTTTATTGAGTCATTATTTTTAGTTTTCATAAGCTAAATGTAAGGCAAAGATCTTTCATAGTGTAAGATTCCTGAGTGGTCTAAAGCGCTGCGTTCAGGTCGCAGTAAAATTCTGCAGGCGTGGTGTCGGATTCCACATTTGACAATTATATTTCATTCATTCATTCTTTACGTTCTCATTAATTAAATGAAAGGAATAACTCTCCCACGTGTCAGGACGGCCAAGCGGTCTAAGGCGCTGCGTTCAGGTCGCAGTCACTTGTGTGGGCATGGGTTCGAATCCCACTTCTGACAATGTATTTCTATTCAGTCATTTTTTGAGGTTAAAGAACTAAATGCAAGGGAAAGCTATTTTGCGTGTCAGGAGGGACGAGGGCTTTAAGGCGCTGCAATCAGGTCAGTCCACTTGCGTGTTCGTGGGTTCGAATCCCACTTCAGACAATGTATTTCTTTCAGTCATTTTTTGAGTTTTAAGAAACTACATGAAAGTGAAAGCTATTCTTCGTGTCAGGATGGCCGAGCGGTCTAAAGGCGCTGCATTCAGGTCGCAGTCCTCTTCTGTGCGCGTGGGTTCGAATCCCACTTCTGACAATAAAATTTTATTCACATACTTTTCTTAGGTTAAAAACTAAATGTAAGGGAAAAAAGTCTTTCACATGTCAGGATGCCCGAACGGTCTAAGGCGCTGCGTTTAGATCACATTCCACTACTGACAATAAAATTTTATTCAGTCATTTTTTTAGTTCTCATAACTTAAATGTAAGGAAACGCTCTCGCACGTGTCAGGATAGCCGAGCGGTCTAAGGCGCTCCAATCAGGTCGAAGAAACACTTGCGTGTTCATGGGTCCAACTCCCACGTCGAGCAATTATATTCAGTTGAGTTATTTTTTTAGTTCTCATAAAGTAAATTAAAGGAAACGTTTTCTCAAATTTCAGAATGGCCAAGCGGTCAAAGGCGCTGCGTTCATGTCGAAGTCCTTTCGGTATTGGCGTGGTTTCTAATCCATCTTCTGATAATGTAATTTTATTTAGTCATTATTTTTTTTAGTTCTCATAAACTAAATGTAAAGGGAAAAATCTTTCACAGGTTCACAGGTTAAGATTCCTGAGCGGTCTAAAGCGCTGCGTTTAAGTCGCAGTAATATTCTGCAGGCGTGGTTTCGATTCCACGTTTACATTATATTTCATTCATTCATTTTTTAAGTTCTCATTAATTAAATGAGGAAACCCTCTCCCACGTGTCAGGATGGCCGAGCATTCAGGCGCTGCGTTCAGGTCGCAGTCCACTTGTGTGGTCGTGGGTTTTGACAATGTATTTCTATTCAGTCATTTTTTGAGGTTAAAGAACTAAATGTGAAGCTATTTTCGTGTCAGGAGGGACGAGCCTTAAGGCACTGCAATCAGGTCGTAGTCCACTTGCGTGTTCACTTCGGGCAATGTA